TTTTGCCCTTTTTTCTGTACAGTAGAGCAGCGGTCCCCAACCTTTTTTTGCACCACGGACCGCTATATGTCAGGGAGAGGGGGGATACGATCCAGTAAAATGATACGACTGGCATAAAATCAAATACAAACAGCATAAAAATAAAACAACAAGCCGGTCCCATCTAGGTGTAATCGGAGACAATGACAGACGAAGTGTGCTCCTGAAATCCAGTCTGCTCCGTAGCTTTGTTTTGGTCGCTGTAACCGCGGAAAATCCCGCTTCACAAAGATAGGATGTTATAGATAGGATGAGTCTTGAACTGAATTAATCTGCGTCAAGAGGCACAGATGCACCGACTGATGTAATTGGGAGAGAATACCGCAATTTTTTATATTTTTCAAAATAAAACATTACTCAGACTCTGATCGTTGATAAATTATATATATACTTTTTTCTGTGCGGCCCGGTGGTTGGGGACCGCTGCAGTAGAGAGCTGAGGGAAGACTACCTAGTAGTTGAGTTTGATTATTTCACTTGCTCTGCAAAAATGTACAGATAAATAACTGAAAATTAAACGGACTACACAGTAGCTGACTTGGATTATTGCATGGTACTGCAGAGATGTACTGATTTCATAAATATGTAAAAAAAAAAAAAAAAAAATGTTAAAATTACACAGGCTACACAGTAGCCTCGTGAGACCATCCTGATCTCGCAAGCTTTCAAGGTTTTACTCCCAGATCAGTCTGGAGACTCTCCGTTAAAGAAAATTTGGAGCCGTTCACCAAACGAACGTCCAATCAGCGTTGGCTTTGAGGCGGGTTGAGGTGTGACGCAACGAGAAGCACGACAGTTCAGTCTAAAGAACATGGCGGCTTCAGCCGATGAAACTAGCGTTAGTGTGGCTATCGAGCAAGTTTTATCGGAATTACAGAGTATTTCTTCACTGAAAGAAGAGCAAAACACTGCTCTGGAGGCTTTTCTCAGAGGAAAAGATGTTTTTGCTCTTCTCCCGACTGGTTTCGGCAAGAGTTTGATCTATCAATTGGCTCCTCTTCGTCGTCGCTCTGTTACGTCATATGCTTCGTTGATCTGATTGGTTTATTTGGCCCGTCTATCACCAACATAGGCCAATCAGCTAACCAGTATTTTCGCTCCTTCCCAAAATTACTTCAACGGAAGGTTTCCAGATGGATATGCGGAGCTACACAGTAGTTGGCATGTGTTATTGCACTGTGAGGTAATGTTTTGTATAAGATGTCCAAGGTGGGCGGTGCTGACCCTTGTCCCTTTAATTACGCATATTTAATCAAAAACTATAACAAAAAACATTTTCTATTAAAAAAAAACCTGTTTACTCCTAATCTATTGAATAAATAAACATGTTCAAAGAAACACACGTATATCTATTTTATTAATCCATAATTTAGGTTATTCAACCACCATATTGGCTGAAAATTAGAATCATTTAGCTTTTTTTTCTTTTTTTTGAAACCCCTGATAATTTATCCAACTGCTTTCAAAAGTTAGTCCTTTAAAATTTTGAACAGTAAAGGGACTTTATAGCACAATTCCTTCGATTGAATATGAACAATATAGATCATTAAGTCATACAATAGTTCACTTAACAGTTAAGTTAAAGCTCTATTTCTAATACTGTCAACAGAACTATGATAATAGAGCTGTGCTCTATGAACCGATACGCTCAGACCAGATATCGGGTTGGATCAGGGGAAAAACTGGATTGGTGCATTTCTACTTGTGTTGCTGCTTGTGCGTCAGATTTCTGGGTGTACATAAATCGGCAAATACAAAAGTTTCCCATTTGGGACTTAAATATGCATAAAATAAAAAGTAAATTGTTTCATTATTTTTAACACATTAAAATGTATTACATTAATTAATAAAACAAATGAATGTGTTAAATTTCCCGCCCTGCTTTGCAGCAAAATTAACTCAATATCGAGGGATTATTTTAACTATGTTACCAATATTTAATCCAGATTAAATATTGCTCTGATACGACCAAAAACTAAACAGTTATTTGAATATATATCTACCTAAATATAAAATCTGCACTATAAAGTAAAGCTAACAGAAACACTCTGCTTCTATTAGGGGTGTCCCAATACATTGTTTCCATTTCCGATCACATACCAATATTATAGCTTTGAGTGCTGATGAAGGTTCTCAGTCATCCAGGTCATAGTCATTCCGTAAAAATTCAAAAAATATCCACTGGACTTGGTTTTCAAGATTTGAAGACGTTTCGCCACCTCTCCAGGAAGCTTTCTCAATTCAATTGAGAAAGCTTCCTGGAGAGGTGGCGAAACGTCTTCAAATCTTGAAAACCAAGTCCAGTGGATATAGCTTTGAGTATTTACCGATATCAGGGGTTGATGTTAAGGATTTTTACCCTTCGGGCAATTGACTTTCACATTTCATTAGCCAAGAAACAATTTTTACTTGCCCAGTATAATGTTTGATAAATGTAGTTCCTAATATTCATTTTTTGTATTTACCGGTATATTGTTTTTTAAATGTTTTTTTGTAATTCAGTAAGTTTCCAGGTTCCTGGTGTGTATATGCATGCGTCAGATAATGAACTCAAGCCTACATTACCGTGTTAACATGCTTTTCAATCCTTCCTGCACATTCTTTTCAAACTAAACTTTGCTTTAAACTGTTGTGTGCTTGGAAAAATATAAATTGTAATGTTAAAAATCTAAAAAAAACTTGACAGGTTAAAAACGTACACTACTACTACGAGGGGTGTAAATCACACCCATCATGGCGATTCGATTCAGTATCGATTTCCTGACCCAATGATGCGATTATTTTCGATACTCAAGAATACACCACGATTTGATACGATTCAATTAATTGATTAATTTTTTTTTTTTTTTTAGACCTTACAGGCTTAGCAAAGTTTCAAGTTTGAAATAAATCAATGAAAGCTGTAATATCGTTATGCATTTTTTTTTTAGAAACAACAGCAAATAACAGAAGTAGAAAAGTTGCATCAAAAAAATACTGCAAAAATGCTGCACAAAATCAGTGCAATGAGTGCAATGAAATACCTTGGCTCCAGATGTCCCGCCCCCTCCACAGACGCTCCGCTGCACCTCTCCCAAATTGTAGCTGACCGCAGACAGGAGGCCGGCCTGTTTTGTTTTTATGACCGAAATTGCGGAAAAATACTCATGAAGTTTGACCCGCTAGAAGAGCAAGGTGCGCAAGAACGCTGGGACCCTTTTTCCACCTAGCTATCCGCTCTTTTTGGCCCTCATGTCCCTCCGTCGTCGGACTAAACTCGCTCCCGCTTCCTCGCCGCCTTGGCCGTATCTAGACCCACAGTGTGTAGCGCAGACCACGCTTCAATATTGAGCATAAATCAAAAATGTCTGCATCAAGCTCACTGCAACACACTGCTGTAAGAATATAACCAGGAAGCGGGGTAGGAGGGCAAAATAGGTTTAGCGCCACCGCAGCACGGGAGGGAGAATTACACCCAGGAGCAAAATGGATAAAAATAGACCGGAGGGAAATAAAAAACATGAATCAATTCTGTTGCGGACGTATCGATGCATCGGATCGTCGGCTGTTGGATCGATGCATCAACACAAAACGATTATTATTTACACCCCTTACTACTACTCACCAATTTAACATGTTTAGCTCTTTCAAATTACGCGAGAATGTGTACAAAACAACAAAAATGGCGCCGGCAACGCTTGTGGGTTGGTTTCCGCGAATGTCGCTGTTTTTAAAGTAATTTTCAGTGATAAATAATTTTTTTTTGCGATCATTGCACTTGCCCTGCGGGCAAATGCTAAAAACTACTTGCCCCGGGCGATGGTTACCATCGAGCCCTGGATATGTTATTGGAGCAAATCATATCTATTTTTACTACTTAGTTGGTTGTGTGTAACCTAAACAGAAACAGAATGTTTCAGTTAGCATGCTCTTATTGGAAATGATTGATTCAGGCCAACATTATACGATATTTGCTATTTTTCTGATATCAAACAGATTTCCAAAATCAGTATTGAATAGGACATCCTTAGCTTCCATTAGATTTTGTTTGAAGTTTCTGTAACCCATTGAGTATAAATAAATGGGTCCGTTTTTCTCATGCATGCTGTTTTTGTCGATTATTTCTGTTTAAGAAATATCACTTGACCAAACCTCCAAAAATGCCACACCACAAAAAAACACAAAAAAGGTTTGTGTGATCAGTGCTGAAATGGTATCTGGTTGGTATCCAGTATGTCATTATCAGGACACCCCTAGTTTTAACTTATTTAAAATCTTTTATTAATGATCAGCAGGATTAGCGGGGTTAGCGCTGTTAGCCGCCTCGCCGTCCTGAAATTGATGCCTTCTTGTGTGCGTTCCCTGCAGACTAAAATGATCTTTGAAAGGATAAAGCTGAATATTTTCCTGTAATATTTCCACCTTCCTGTTGAAGTCAATCAGTAACTCTGTCATTCTTGTCAGTGTGACCTTTGATGCTGAAGGAGGAAATTGAATCTCTTGAATTCAGAGCAAAGATTCCTGGATCATTTTATGCAGACACCTTTCCCGGCAGACGCTCGTTTATGCTTCGAATGAAGCAAGAGGGCAAAACTAAAGCCAGGAACTCTTCTTTGACTCAATTATGCTTTTCTCCAAGCAATTAGTCCTTTATTTTATTTTAATTTGGCCATTTTGAGAAGAAGGATTTTGATTTGTGTTTTGGATTTAACAGGAAGCCAATGAAGGGAAGCTAAAATATGAGAAATGAGAAATCTATTTAAAATTTTCATTAGAACTCTCGCTGCAACATTTTGGATCAACTGAAGGCTTCCTGATATTAAAGAATCAGAAACATTTAACTCAGATATTCACTTGAAGTGTTTTCTATCATTTATTTCCACTACAGCAACAGCTTGTTGCATAATTCTGTTTCCTTCTTCCTCACAGTCGGCTGATATCACGCATCTGGAAAGCACCAGGTAGGATTCGCTGCGACAGCCATGCCTCCCAGGCCCTCTTCAGGAGAACTATGGGGGATGCACTTGATGCCCCCCAGCATCTTAGTGGACTGCTTGCTGCCAAATGGCATGATTCTCACATTGGAGTGCCTCCGGGAAGCAACGCTCGTCACGATCAAGCATGAGCTCTTCAAAGAAGCCAGGAAGTACCCTCTCTACCATCTGCTGCAGGAGGAGAGCTCGTACATCTTCGTCAGCGTCACGCAGGAGGCTGAGCGGGAGGAGTTTTATGACGAGACCAGGAGGCTCTGCGATCTCAGACTGTTTCAAGCTTTCCTGAAAGTTATCGAACCAGTGGGCAACAGAGAGGAGAAAATCCTGAACAGAGAAATCGGTATTCCTCTGAGCTCATGGTTGAAGCTGGCCGTATCCTTTGTGACATCTCTTTATACCTTTTCTTCTCGCTTCGTTTTCAGGTTTTGCTATTGGGATGCCCATATGCGAGTTTGATTTGGTGAAGGACTCAGAAGTACAGGACTTCAGAAGAAACATTTTAAATGTTTGCAAAGAAGCAGTGGACCTCAGAGACAGCAACGGATCCCACAGCAGAGCGTTGTACGTCTACCCTCCTAACGTTGAATCTTCTGCAGAACTTCCCAGGCACATCTATAATAAACTCGATAAAGGTAAGAGCCTCTACCCGAGTTACGACACTGATTGCTCATCGTAACCTCGAGAATCTGGTTACAAATTTGTCCCCTCTTTTTGGCTTTGTCTTGTTAAATTTGCTGTTGTAGCTAATAAAGCTGCCCTAAACAGTCATCAATCATTTATAACAGGAGCTAACTGTAACCACAATGCTAGCTAGCAGTGGCAGTCTTCCTAGTACTATAAAACCAAAGTTCCCCAACATTTCAGCTTGCTAAACGCTAGGGGTGGAACGGTTCACAAAATCTACGGTTCGTTTTCGTGGTCGCGGTTTTCGGTTCGGTATATGTTGATTGTTAGCCTGACATGTTGGTCGTGTTGCTGTTAGCATAAACAAAAAGTGTTGCACAATGCTTTGTAGCTTCTGTAACGAGCTAAACTGTTTTCAGATGTGTCAACATGATTGGCCAAGGGTTTTCTATTCATCAATTAGCCTTCTGAGCCAATGAGCAAACACATTGTACCATTAGAACACTGGAGTGATAGTTGCTGGAAATGGGCCTCTATACACCTATGTAGATATTGCACCAAAAACCAGACATTTGCAGCTAGAATAGTTATTTACCACATTAGCAATGTATAGAGTGTATTTCTTTAAAGTTAAGACTAGTTTAAAGTTATCTTCATTGAAAAGTACATAGCTTTTCCTTCAAAAATAAGGACATTTCAATGTGACCCCAAACTTTTGAATGATAGTGTAACTATTTAATGGTTCATTTAAAAAAAGTTATTGGTGTATTTAGTGTTTACATGATTTATTAGATGAATCTATATATTGCTGTTACATCTACTTATTTCGTGGTCCATGTTTAAGTATATCTCATGGTATGGTGTGGCCGTCCATTTACCTCCGGGATCACATCACAATGATTATGATAATCATTTCATCAAAGATTAGAACAAACGTCTGTATAGAGTTGATGTTTTCATCCAGTTTTATCATCCTTAATCAGTTATTGGTGTGTTTAGCATGAGCTCAGCATGGCTAACAGGACTAAAGAAACATTTCCAACTTCGGTGTGTCACATGACTGCCAAAGGTTGAAGTTCAGAAGGAAATAGTTTGGTGTCTATGCTGTTATCTGTTCAGCCTTCCTGTTATCTGCTGAAAGTCCAGCTCTCTCTCGCACTCTGACAGCCTGAACAAATCCAGCTGACAATAAATACCTTTTTAAATCTTTATTTTAAACTCCTCACTGACTCTGCAGATGGGGAACCAGGGGTTTTTCTTCACTCAGCAAGAATTTCCACACATGAGCCGCAAATGGAGGCTGAAAATATCTGTCATGAGCTGATTAATTGAGCTTCTTGGAATCTTAAACTGTTCAATCTTTAAAAAAAAAACTTTTTTTCATTTCCTCTGAAAATACTTAAAGTTCCTCTTGGTTTTGTGGTCTTTATGTTTTTAAAAACCATTTTCAGCCTTAGAAGGAAGCACTGAGGTAATTTCTTTTCTCACTTCCTCTGTGTTTATAAAACAGCTTTTGTTTTTGTTTTTCAGGTCAGATCATTGTGGTGATTTGGGTCATCGTTTCACCCAGCAATGACAAACAGAAGTACACCCTGAAGATCAACCACGACTGTGTGCCGGAGCAGGTGATAGCCGAAGCCATCCGTAAGAAGACGCGGAGCATGCTGCTCACCCAGGAGCAGCTAAAGATGTGCGTCCAGGAGTACCAGGGGAAGTACATCCTCAAAGTCTGTGGCTGTGATGAGTATCTGCTGGAGAAATACCCCCTGAGTCAGTACAAGGTATTGCCCTCTTTGCTTTGCTAACCCTGTCATCAAAATGCTCCTGTAGGACAATTTTGGGGAAAATTTATCAGTTAAAGGAAAAGTCCGGTCAACAAGGAATGATCAATGGATCATTATCTGTACCTAAAACTAATATGTTTGTGATGATTTAATGAATTGAGCGTTAATCTGTAAAAAAAATAAAAATAACTTTTCTTGCGATCACTGAGTCTGGGAATGGCCATTTTTGCCCAAATATAGTAAAGGGCAGATTATACTTCTGCAGCCGCACACATCAAATGTCGCTTGTTTCTGGTCGCGAACCAGTTTTGCTGGTATGCCTCTGCACCGTCGGTCTAGAATTTCTAGGGACACACAGCTGTTTCCCGCCAAAGCGCAAGGGGGGGGGCTATTGGAGAACTCGCAAGAACTTTGGGGGATGGTCGTGTTTATCTTCCAAAACAACAATGGCGCCTCTGCAAGATGTCACGGTCACAGAGATGGATTTAGAGTTGCTAGACATAGAGGAGGAACAGGTTCTGTTAATGGAGTTGGCAAAAACACAGATTAACCTCTCATTATAGTTGTCCGTTGTAGTTGTTCCCCGGTTTTTAAAAATGGCACGTCCCGGCACCAAATCAAGAAGGACGACCACAAAAACAGCCGGGAAAGGCATATCAAGGATCAATTACAGCTGATTTTTGTCTGCGCACTTCCGCTTGAGGTCTGAGTGGGTTTGCGATATTCCAGCGCGTAGTCAGGATGTTTTTGAGGTACGCAACGTCGGTTGCAAAACCTCAAGCGGGGGGACATGGTCGCGCACAGAGACAAATTTGACAGTTGCAGAGGCTATGCATCAGAAGACTAAATTGGCCACCTCACTCCTGACATCTTCAGGCAGTGACGTCATGGTGCGGTAAACCTAATGCCATTCAAGCTTAATCAATGGGAACTACTAGACACATCTGCAATCAATGACAATTATTTAAGATTTCCAGAGGACTTCACCTTTGAAATTCACCAGAGCTATAGTGAAACTGACAATGCCCACGTGCATGGAGGGTGGATGATGGAATACATCGAGTAAAAGTGAAAAAACATCAGTTATTTCACCTTTCCAAATCCTGATCCTCCACGGACGGGTTGGTCTTTGGATCGCCAACTTGAAGAGGGAGGATTTGCCATCGAACTTCTGGCCAGAGAAAAAACCCGTAATATGTAGCCAACATTTGGAAGAAGAATGTTTTCAAGATGACTTGGATAATAGCGCGTTGTGACAAACACCAGATACAGCACTGGGACTTGATCAACAGCCGATACCGCACCGTGACGTCACAAACCAGTAGGTGGCAGTAGTGTTCTTTGACAAACATGGATGCCTCCAGTAAAACATATTCACATGAAAATTACTCTGAATTAAAAACACTGATCATTTATTGAACAGTATGTAATAATTTAATATTTAAAGTACTTTCAGAAGTTTGAACTCTAATTATAACCGGACTTTTCCTTTAATCGTTCTTTGAGTTATTGATTTATTTGTAATTTAAAGGATTATTTATCACAGCAGTACATGTGAATTAGTTGGATCTAAGCTTTTGGTCTCACTTTGTGTTCAACAGTACATCCGGAGCTGCATCATGCTGGGAAGGATGCCCAACTTGATGCTGATGTCCAAAGACAGCCTTTATTCCCAGCTGCCCACAGACACCTTCACCATGCCGTCCTACGCCAGGCGAATTTCCACGGCGACGCCTTACATGAACGGGGAAACGGCCACCAAGTGTCTTTGGACGATCAGCGGGACGCTGAGGATCAGGATCCTCTGCGCTACCTACGTCAATGTAAACATCAGAGACATAGACAAGGTAGATATGCAGGGCGTTATCTGTGTTTATGTTTTTAGTGGTGTTTGTTTGTCTGTCCGTCTGTCTGTGTACAGGATAACTTGAAAAGTTATGAATGGATTTTAATTACATTTTTACCAAAGATGCACCTCAGTCCAAGGAACAATTAATTAAAACGTGGTAATGATCCAGATCAAATGTGAATCACAATATGGGGGAGAATTTGTTGTTTGGCAGAGGTCTGTGCTCTCACAGTGCTTTGCTAGTTTTAATGTAACTTGAGCAATAGAAACCTGTCTCTATCCTTTTCATTTTATTTTCTGTATTATTACCTGTAAGGAAGCCTTTAGGTTCATTCTTGTTTCCTGCTCTAGATCTACGTGAGGACCGGGATATACCACGGTGGGGAGCAGATGTGTGACAATGTCAACACTCAACGTGTGCCCTGCTCAAATCCACGGTAGGGAGGTGTGAAGAAGAGCAGCAACGTGATGGGGAATGTCGCGGGCTAATTAGCTTCTGCTTTCAGGTGGAACGAGTGGCTGAACTACGACATGTTCGTTACGGAAATCCCCAGAGCTGCTCGACTCTGCCTCTCCATCTGCTCCGTGAAAGGAAGGAAGGGAGCTAAAGAGGTTAGCAAAGACACACCAAATCCTAACGTCATCACTCGGTGACAAATGATTTGATTTAAAGTCTTTTTGTTGTATATTCTGAAAAAACAAAATATATATAGCTCTGCAATGAAAGACGATGCAAATGAGGATTTAAAAAAAAAGAAGTGCTTTACGCAGTTTTGCAGTTATCATCAAGGTCCTGCTTTTCTTTAAACTTTAATGTCACCTATTAGCAAATGTATAATAAAATAATCCTTCAGAACTACATTGGTAGGAAATATAGTAGAGATTGACACATACTGTGTTTTAAAGGGAAAGTCCGATCAGCAAGGAATAATCAATGGATCATTATTTATTAGGGATGGGACGATTTATGAAAACCGTCCGAACTGTCCGGTTCGACTGTCTCGGTTCGGTTCGCGTGTGTTTCGTTCGGTTCATGCGCTGCCCCTTTTTCTCATAGGTGAAGCGTTTACACTCCCGAGCAGAAGGTGGCGGTACTGCGACCAAAGCCAACCACCAGTAGTAAACAAGAAGAAGAAGCGAAGCAGCGTAGCCGTGTAGCAGGGAAAAAAATCAGTTGTTGTGGAGAATTGTGTAGGTATGGCGAGTGGGAAAGAACAGGAGTTGGAAGACGCGCCAGCAGCACTTTATAGGTCTGCTGTATGGGACCACTTTGCATTTAGAGTGACCTACGATGACGGCGGAAAGAAAGTTGTGGATAAAAGTGCAACACGTTTTGTTTATGCTAACAGCAACACGACCAACATGTCAGGCTAACCCCGAAATCCCACATACTCCGTCAGCGCTCCGCCCCACTGCGCTCCAGACCGGCTGAACAAAGCAAAGCCTACAGCCTCCACTGTGGCTTCGTCCGCTCCCCTCTGAGTCCCTTGGAGATGGTAGAGAGCATGCACGAGATGATTAAATTCTAAGCAGCAAAACATACAGAAATGATCCAGGGTTTCTGCGGATCATTTAAAATAATTACAATCCATTATTTTTTGGGGGATTTTTTCATTAATTTCATAAGTTTTTATGGGATTTCGGTGTAACAATCAACATATATCGAATCGAACCAAACCGAAAACCGTGACCAGAAACCGTGAATCGAACCGAACCGTGGATTTTGTGAGCCGTTCCACCCCTAATATATATATATAAAACTTATACTTTGCATTGATTTAATGAAATTAGCATTAAATGTTTTCCGTTGCGATCACTGAGTCAGGGAGCGGCCATTTTTGCCCAAATATAGTAACCCCTCCCTCCTGCCATCTTCCAGCAGTGACGTCTCGGTGCGGTAAGCCTAGCGCCATTCTCCCCGCTTTACAAGCAAAGTCAATGGGAACTACTAGACACATCTGCAATCAACAACAATTATTGAAGATTTCCAGAGGACTTCACCATTGAAATTCACCAGAGCTATAGTGAAACTGACTATGCCCACGTGCATGGCAGCTGGATGTGTAATACATCGGGTAAAAGTGAAAAACAAAAATAAGAGTTTTTTCACCTTTCTGATTCCTGATCCTCCACGGACGGGTTGGTCGTTGGATCGCCAACTTGAAGAGGGAGGATTTGCCATCGAACTTCCGGCCAGAGAAAAAACACGTAATATGTAGCCAACATTTGGAAGAAGAATGTTTTCAAGATGACTTGGATAATAGCGCGTTGCGACAAACACCAGATACAGCACTTGGACTTGATCAACAGCCAATATAGAAGTATGTATTCTGAATGTGGCTGGACTCTTTCTTTAACGCCTGTATGGTTATTTTCAATTTAATTAAATTCAGTTTATTTCTATAGCGCCAATTCACAACACATGTCATCTTAACGCACTTTACAGTTCACCAGATCATACAGTCAAGCTGATTCTTGATAGTTTTCTATCTAAGTAAAAAACCATCGACTCATTGACTAAAGTACAATCCCTCACACTAATCATGCTTGTAGCGACAGTGGAGAGGAAAAACTCCCTTTTAACAGGAAGAAACCTCCAGCAGAACCAGGCTCAGTGTGAGCGGCCATCTGCTGAGGCCCACTGGGGTTCAAGGAGACAATTTTAACATCATTGTAACACATATCCTGTTACACAATGTAAATATATCCTTTCCATATTTTTCGTCCGATTCTTTTTTTTGTCTCCTTTTTCATACTTAAAATATTACAGTTTATTTTTTTCCCATTATTCTTGCAAACAATGGACACATTTTGCTGAAGGAAATCTGGAAAAAAGGCAATTCAGAGATTAAACTGAAAATCGTCTTTATCATAAAAATAAAGCTTTATTTTATCGTTTCAAATTTATGTTTTTACATATTGAGTTTTAGGAATTTCACTCTTTTCAAATTGTATTTAACAAAACTGATTGGCTTCACTTTAGGGGGCTGGTTTTCCTCTGGAGGTTTTCAGTTGGTCTGCTTGAAAGTCACACTGTAAAAACAATCTAGAAATGAGTAAAAATGTCTTAAATTAAATTTATTTAACCTTATTTTGAGTAAGTAAATGAGACAGTTTGCCAATGGAATGAGTATCTTTACTCTTAAAATAAGATAATTGGATAATATGCACTTGAAATAAGGCAGTGCAATTGTGTTTTCTTATTTCAAATGTAAATTACCTTCTCCTATTGGCAAAATGTCTCTTTTACTTCCTTAATCCAAGAACAAATGCACTTATTTTAAGAAAAAATTACTTCTCTAGATTTTGATTTTTTTCCAGTGCAGCAACAACATTTTCTTGGTGAAGAGCGAGAATTTTGGACTTGAAGTGAATTTGGTCTGGAAATTAAAAGTCGAAAAGAATCAAATTTGAAAACAAAAAACAAAAAAGAGAAATTGGAAAAGATCAAATCTGAAGAAAACAAAATGAAATAAAAATTCAATAAAATTTGTTTTGGGGGATATAAAATCTATAATTAAAAAGCAATATATATATAGAAAATTAAAAAGCAATAATGATTAAATGTCAGCAAAACAGCAAAGTTGCTCTCAAAAGGGGAGATTTAAAATTTTTAAATATTTTATTCCTTTTTTTTCTTTTCACTAAATTTCTATTTACAAATGTGTTTGTCTCCGATTTTCCGATCTAGAACTTCCTTTTTTCTTTTAACATCAGAATGGATTACTATATTAAAGGAGGAATGCCTCCCTGCAGCATCATACTGCCATCACTATGTTTAACACCTGAGGATGGTGATATTTTTATTAAGCCCAGAAAATTATTCTCTTCCTTCATCTGAGCAGAAAATGTTCCTTTCTGCTGAGCCCCACATGGCTCTATGGAAAAACTACCACAGCTTTATTACCCCTGTTCCAAAAAGGCCAGATTAACGACGTACGTCTGTAATGGTTCTCCCAGCTCAGCCGTAGATCTCTGCGGCCCCTCCAGGGAACCGTGTATCTCTTTAACGCTGTCGTTTCCCAGAAAGCATGTGTAGGGAGATGGATTTGTTATATATTTGTTCTTTATAGGGTTCCAGGCTGTCGTCGTCATTGTTCTGTTTCTATTTTTGGAAGATAGAAACTAAACTAAGGCATATGAAATGTAAAAAGAAACTTTAAATAAATATATTTTAAACATAAATTATCCTATTACATAATTATCCTACACACTTTTCAAGAAAAAAAATGAAGTCACTTATAAATAACTTCATGCAGGTTAAAGGTATACTATGCAACTGGTGTTGATTTTCCAGCGAGGCTCCCCCCAGAGGGCGAAAGCAAAAGTGCACTGTCGTAAATATGCTCAGCTGTTCTCCTGGTTTCTCCGTCAAGCCAGGCGCGGTTGTTTTGAGCTTAGCAGACAGGCGAATGCAACGAATCACCATGTCTACTGCGGTAAGTGACTATTTTGTTCCACTTTTCGAGTTTGAAAATTCTCGCTGGTTCCGCCATGATAACTGCACAAATATCGCTACTGCGCTAGCAACGAGCGTGCCTTTCACTGGGGGCGTGTAGCAGTTCTCGCCGTTAAGCAAGACCGACTCTCGCGATGCACGAGACTTCTGAGCCTGTAGGTGCGGGCCGAGGGCTCCTGCAATTGCAAGTGCGGTATTTCCCCTACAGACCACCAGGGCGGCCGAGAAAACCTTTGTTCCACCTGAAATGACTCATTTAATCATCCAAAACATTATGGAACACTGTAATTAACTGAAAAATGTTGCATAGTATGCCTTTAAATAAAATCTCAATGAAAACTAAAAAGGAGAAAAAACTCCTGAAATAAACATATTTGCTCTCCATTCAAACCGATAAGTTAAACGATCGACTAATGGAATGTTTAGCATCTATAATAAGAAAATTAAGGGAGATTTTCCTTTTTATTATATTCCTAAATCCCTATCCATTCACGGATCACTTACACTAATTTCAAGAACTTACTGTTCATTAACCTTTGACAGTAAAAGTGAATAAATCGCTCAGTCAGATGGAAAGAGGCTAAAGATCCGCTGCCTGTTATCTGTAGCTCCTCTGTCAGGATGTAGAGATGCATTAAAAACAACCTTCCTCTGTTTTGTAATCCTGCTTTTATTATTGAAAAAGATGTTTTGACAAAAAAAGAAAAAACGGTATGCTTTGCATAAGTTGGTCCTCATATGTGGTGTTTCTGCTAGAATCAAAGGGAAAAGAAAACCGTTTGTTTGAAAGTTCAAACAAGGATGTGGCGCAGTGGTCTGCTCCAAAGCTGCTAGCTTTTCCAAGCATTTTCCTCTTCAGCCTCTCATCTGTTGTTGTTCGTCTCCCCCTTTAGGAGCATTGTCCTCTGGCCTGGGGCAACATCAACCTTTTTGATTACACTCACACGCTAGTAGCAGGAAAGATGGCTCTCAACCTGTGGCCGGTCCCACACGGCCTGGAGGACCTGCTCAATCCCATCGGGGTCACAGGCTCCAACCCCAACAAGGTGAGCACTCCGGGGGTCGGCCCGTCAGCCCCGTGGGATTCCGCCTGGATAGAAAAGCTGTTCAGAACCTGAACAACCAGCATCACCTCTCTCTCTCTCACCCACACAGGAAACGCCTTGCTTGGAGCTGGAGTTCGACCATTTCAGCTGCCCTGTGAAGTTCCCCAATATGAGCCAGATCGAGGAACACGCCAACTGGAATATATCTACAGAGCTGGGCTTTAACTACAGTCACAACGGATCGGTAAGAGCGGGGGAAAAAAGAAACGCAGCTCCGTTTCTCTGAAGGGTTTGACGTGTTTTTTTTTTTTTTCCCAGAGTAACAGATTTGCGCGGGACAACCCTCTGACTGAGAGCGATAATGAGCAGCTGAGACAGGTGTGCAACCGAGACCCGCTGTCTGAGATCACTGAGCAGGAGAAGGACTTCCTGTGGAGGCACAGGTACATTTATCTATGTCTGCTTTAAATGGCCAGAGGGGAAACTTGGTGATTTCATATCAGGTCTGATTAGTTAGCTGATAAAACTAGTCTAAAAACAAGTTAAGAATTTGCCTAAATTAAAATGAATTGATATCATGCACTCGGAATAAGATAATAGAGCCAACTTTTCTTATTTTAATTAAAAATCATATTATTGCATTGATAAAGTCTTACCTGCTTAACCTGTTCGCCAAGGGATTTTTTAACGTTTTTAAATGACGTTTAAATGCCTAAAGGCTTCCTTGGAGCTCACACTGTACGTCTAAAAACCACATTGGACTGAGCTCCGCAGTGAGATGGCGCTACTCGGACTCGTCTATCCGGAAGCCAAACGTGTAGAAGAGGAATATGAGGCTCATTACAGTGAAACAAGCTGCCTTGGAAATTTGTGCAATTTTGTGCTGTAAGCAGGGTTTCGCTAACCTGACTCCCCGCCAGATGGATTTGCTCCGCGTATCCATCTGGAAACCTTCCGATGCAGTAATTTTGGGAAGGGGCGAAAATACTGGTTAGCTGATTGGCCTATGTTGGTGATAGACGGGCCAAATAAACCAATCAGATCAACGAAGCATACAGGTGCTGGTCATAAAATTAGAATATCATGAAAAAGTAGATTGATTTCAGTAATTCCATTTAAAAAGTGAAACTTGTATATTATATTCATACATTACATACAAACTCATATATTTCAGATGTTTATTTTGTTTAATTTTGATGATTACAAATGACAACAAATGAAAATCTCAAATTCATCATATCAGAAAATTAGAATATTACTGAAGACCAATAAAAACAAAGGATTTATAGAAATGTTGGCCAACTGAAAAGTATGAACATGAAAAGTATGAGCATGTACAGCACTCAGTATTTAGTTGGGCCTCCTTTGGCCTGTATTACTGCAGCAATGCGGCGTGGCATGGAGTCGATCAGTCTGTGGCACTGCTCAGGTGTTATGATAGCCCAGGTTGCTCTAATAGTGGCTTTTAGCTCTTCTGAATTGTTGGGTCTGGTGTATTGCATCTTCTTCTTCACAATACCCCATAGATTTTCTATGGGGTTAAGGTCAGGAGAGTTTGCTGGCCAATTAAGAACAGGGATACCATGGTCCTTCAACCAGGTACTGGTAGCTTTGGCACTGTGTGCAGGTGCCAAGTCCTGTTGGAAAATGAAATCTGCATCTCCAAAAAGTTGGTCAGCTGCAGGAAGCATGAAGTGCTCTAAAACTTCCTGGTATGTGGCTGCGTTGACCCTGGACCTCAGAAAACACAATGGACCAACACCAGCAGATGACATGGCACCCCAAACCATCACTGACTGTGGAAACTTTACACTGGACTTCAAGCAACGTGGATGAAGTGCCTCTCTTCTTTTCCTCCAGACTCTGGGACCTTGATTTCCAAAGGAAATGCAAAATTTACTTTCATCAGAGAACATGACTTTGGACCACTCACCAGCAGTCCAGTCCTGTTTCTCTTTAGCCCAGGCAAGACGCTTCTGACGCTGTCTGTGGTTCAAGAGTGGCTTGACACAAGGAATGCGACAGCAGAAACCCATGTCTTTCATACGTCTGTGTGTGATGGTTCTTGAAGCACTCACTCCAGCTGCAGTCCACTCTTTGTGAATCTCCCCCACATTTTTGAATGGGTTTTGTTTCACAATCCTCTCCAGGGTGCGGTTATCTCTCTTGCTTGTACACTTTTTTCGACCACATCTTTTCCTTCCCTTCGCCTCTCTATTAATGTGCTTGGACACTGAGCTCTGTGAACAGCCAGCCTCTTTAGCGATGACCTTTTGTGTCTTGCCCTCCTTGTGCAAGGTGTCGATGGTCGTCTTTTGGACAACTGTCAAGTCAGCAGTCTTCCCCATGATTGTGTAGCCTATAGAACTAGACTGAAAGACCATTTAAAGGCTTTTGCAGGTGGTTTGAGTTAATTAGCTGATTAGAGTGTGGCACCAGGGGCCATCAATTTTGAACCTTTTCACAATATTCTAATTTTCTGATATGATGAATTTGAGATTTTCATTTGTTGTCATTTGTAATCATCAAAATTAAACAAAATGAACATCTGAAATATATGAGTTTGTATGTAATGTATGAATATAATATACAAGTTTCACTTTTTAAATGGAATTACTGAAATCAATCTACTTTTTCATGATATTCTAATTTTATGACCAGCACCTGTATGTCGTAACAGAACGACGACGAAGAGGAGCCAATTGATAGATCAAACTCTTGCCGAAACCAGTCGGGAGAAGAGCAAAAACATCTTTTCCTCTGAGAAAAGCCTCCAGAGCAGTGTTTTGCTCTTCTTTCAGTGAAGAAATACCCTGTAATTCCGATAAAACTTGCTCGATAGCCACGCTAACGCTAGTTTCATCGGCTGAAGCCGCCATGTTCTTTAGACTGAACTGTCGCGCTTCTCGTTGCGTCACACCTCAACCCGCCTCAAAGCCAACGCTGATTGGACGTTCGTTTGGTGAACGGCTCCAAATTTTCTTCAACGGAGAGACTCCAGACTGATCTGTGAGTAAAACCTTGAAAGCTCGCGAGATCAGGATGGTGTCACGAGGCTAGGGTTCCCGCGGGTTTTTAAAAAGTCTTAAAAGGCATTGAATTCTTCAAAATAAAACTAAGGTCTTAATTGGTATTAAAATGTCTTAAATCTTTCGTAGGTCTTAATTTTTAAAACATCATAAATAGGATTATTTTTATTACAATTTATTTTTGTAATCTAAATAAAACATTAAAATTTACCTTTTTTTTTTATATATAAAAAAAAAATAACGGCTCCCCATTATTGGTTCCGTCCCGATAGCGGAACCAATAAAAGCGTTGTTTCGGCCGGGACATTTGGGAGATGCACCATTAACTTTTTGTCTGGAAAATATGAGCAAGTGTAAATGTAACGAAAATTGTCTCCAGCCAAGAGTTTTCTCCATGCCTAAAACCAGGGAACATACATGAGGCTCAGTGGATTTAGTGCAAGAAGTCATTCAAGCTCAGAACGATTGGAATTAAGGCAGTGGAGTCGCACATGCGAAGCACGAAACATAAGGCGTCAAAATGGAGTTACAGAGAAACAGCTGGTATTTCTCAGTTTAGTTCCACCCTTGTCTCTGCAACGCCGCCACTTATCACCAAATCAAACATACTAAGAAAACCATACAAAGAAAAATAGCTGCAAAAAGACTTAGCACTGGTTATGTTGTGGCTTTAAAACTGATTTGTTTTGTTCCCTGCTAAAACAAAGTTTGTGAATTCAGTTAAATAGTTGTTCAAATATATCTGTCATTTGTGTGTTTTTAGCTTTCTTCCTGTATGGGAAGCTTTTCAAAATTTGAAACATTAGTGCAGTGGTTTATGTAAAAATAAACCTTTGGGTTAAGTTGTCGCAAGCAGGTTTTTCTTGTGTTTCTTGTGAATATGGTCTTAAATTTTTATTTCAAGTGGCATTAAAAAGTCTTGAATTTAACTTGCCTTATGCTGTAGGACCCTGCTAACTAATACACCGATACAGAATAAAGATCAGCTTTTGATCTGATCAGAGGAGCAGTGATGCCCACTATCACACACAGGGATTTTACACACCTCACACATGAAGCGAGCGCATTTCCCCAAACACCCTGCATTTCCCGCATGTGGCTTTCTTGGAATACTGATGTTGCTGCAGCAATGGCTGCAGGGATGTGCTGACAGGCCTGTGGAACCTGTTGTGGACTGCTCCTCAGAGCCTGGTGTTTCAGCAGCTGCTGATCCAGTCTGCCGCACAGCTTCCTGTTCAACAGGTAGCTGTTTATCACAGCAACAAGTCACAAAGTGATGCAAACCTGTCAGAAACAACTTCCTGCTCTTTCTACATGAGGAAAAAGATCCAATCAGCTGGTTAAAAAAGTCCAACTTCCCCCATGAAGCTTGTAGTCCTTCACAGATAACTCCTTCCTCTCCGCCTCAGGGAGTAGGAGGTCAAATCTTCTTCATCCTCAACATCATCAACACTGCACACGGAAAAATGTTACACAATGTGTTAGATGCTTTTTATATCAAGAATATCATATAGTGATTCAGAACATAATAACAGTGGATAATGATGAAGTGTAACAGGTTTAGCATCGTTTTTATGGATTCTATTTTATTTTGAAAAGCTATGGAAGAAAACGGTCTCATTGGAATCTGCCTTTTTTTTAACACCGGATTTTAAACACAGAAATTTTTTAGACATTGAATTCCTTACACTCAATTTTTATCTGGTAAAAATTCACCTGAAAAAAATTCAGCTGCAATAAAATTATGCCACAAAAGTGTTGACCTTTTGGTGAACTCAAGCTAAAGCAATCTACACACGATAGAGTCGAGCCGCTTCTAGCCAATGAAATTAGCTCGTTTGGTCACGTGACACAATGGCTGCGCTCAGTGCTGTTCCAGGCTGAATGAGGAATTTTACTAACAGACAGCTATTAGAGTTTTTCCTCTTATCAGACTGGGTGAAACAACTGAGCCGATCACAGCTAGTGCGGCACCCCTGTCTGCCAAGGCTCTTGGTTTGATCCGAAAGAAGCGGCCGGCGGCAAACCGGTGTGATCGGCTCAGCTGTTTCACCCAGTCTGATAAGAGGAAAAACTCTTAATAGTTGTCTGTTTGTAGCTAACTGACATTTTGTAATTCTGCCTGGAACAGCGCTGAGCGCAGCCATTGTGTCACGTGACCAAATGAGCTAATTTCATTGGCTAGAAGCTGCTCGACTCTATCGAGTGTAGATTGCTTTGGCTTGAGTTCACCAAAAGGTCAACACATTTGTGGCTGAATTTTTTGCAGCAGAATTTTTTTCTGGTGGATTTTTACCAGATAAAAATTGAGTGTAAGGAATTCAATGTCTAAAAAAATTCAGTGTTTAAAATTCGGTGTTAAAAAAAAAGGCAGATTCCAATGAGACTTTTTTTCTTCCATAAAAAACGCTCCCTGGATGAGGATTTTCATCACTATTGCTATATGTTTCAGTGTATATGTCCACCATGTTGGCTAGCTTATCTCCCGGGATGACATCACACTTACGGATTTGGTATGGACAAAAAAAGTAACAGAACCAGAAGAGCGTTTTTCCTAAAAAAAAAAAAAACTTTATTTTTAATCATTAGTATTTGAATATCGCAAGACTTTAGAATTTACGGTAATATATTACAGTAAAGTACTTTTAATTCAACACTTTATCCCAGCTTTAAATCAAGGGAAATTACTCTTATTTCTAGAAAAATTGACCTTTCCTTAGATTTCAGGTTTTGCTGCGGGATCAGAGGTTACACTGAAAAAAATCCAAATCTAGATAAATATTTTTTCTTAAAGTTAGTGTATTTCTTCTTGGATTGAGGAGGTTAAAGACACATTTTACCAAAGGAACAAGAAAATCTACATTTAAAATAAGAAAACACAATTGCATCGTCTTATTTCAAGTGTATTTTATTTAATTATCTTATTTAAAAGTAAAAATACTCATTCCATTGGCAAACTATCACATTTACCTACTCAAATTAAGGGTAAAGACAATTAATTTAAGACATTTTTACTTATTTTGTAGATCTTTTTTCCAGTGTAGAAATCACCAAATCTGAACAGTCTTCGGTGTTGAAGCCGATACTGAGAGAAGATTCAGTTATTTTCAGTCCAAGTTAGATGTTTAAAGGTTTGGATCTCACCGGTTCTGTTTTATTCTGCTGAAAAGCCCAGTTCTTTTTATCATGGAAAAGACTCCAAAATCAAAATCAGGTCAATTTGTTCTTAACAGATTGATCTGAGCGCGTAAGAAAGACAATTCGCCACTGGAATAAGATGATTAATGTTTAAAATAAAATAAAAAAAACTCCCATTAATTTATTACAAGTACATAAAATGATCTAATTTTAGGAGTAAACATACAAATTCTTATATGCTTATTTTTAAGAAATTTGTTCTTATTTTTACATCAGGTTTTGCAGTGTTTCTGCAAAAACTGGTCTAAAAATACAGCTGCAAAAAGTCTCTTATATCAGCCTGGGTTGGATGTTTGCCAAACTCATAATACAACTTCTTTTCTCCCTGATTTTCAGACATCACTGCATCAACATCCCGGATATTCTTCCCAAGATCCTCCTGGCTGTGAAGTGGAACTCCAGGGATGAGGTTGCACAAGTGAGTTGAGATTCTCCGAAGCGTAAAACAACTTTCTCCTAAGGGAGCGCATCACTTAAACCGTTCCCGCTTTGTTCTTCCAGATGTATTGCCTTCTAAAAGACTGGCCTGCAATTAGGCCAGAGCAAGCCATGGAGTTGCTGGATTGCAACTTCCCCGACCCCATGATCAGAGAGTTTGCTGTGAAGTGCCTTGAGAAATACCTGACGGATGACAAACTCTCGCAGTACCTCATCCAGCTGGTCCAGGTGAGCGCCGCCGATGGAGGAGGGGACGCCTCCTCTGTGTAACCTTCTCAGCGTGGCATGGAGAGCTGAAGTTGTTTTTCACACCGTCTGTGCCCAGGTTCTAAAGTATGAGCAGTATCTCGATAACCCGCTTGCACGCTTCCTGCTGAAAAAGGCATTAACCAATCAGAGGATAGGACATTTCTTCTTCTGGCATTTGAAGTGAGTTAATTAAAAAAGAACAAAAAGGTGTTTTTGTTTTTTTTCCCGACAGATCGAGCCGTTGGTTTGTTGAAAGGTTAAGCTATTGTTTGAATGTCACCTTAGCAGTCTGGTGTTTTCTTTATTTTTTATTTTTTTAATGATGTCTTGACAGATTAGCCATTAGCGTACAGCCTGCTAACGCTTACTTCTTTTCTCATGTGTGCGTGAAGATCAGAGATGCACAACAAGACGGTGAGCCAACGGTTCGGCCTCCTGCTGGAGTCGTACTGCCGGGCGTGCGGCGTGTATCTGAAGCACCTGAGCAGGCAGGTGGAAGCCATGGAGAAACTCATCAACCTCACCGACCTGCTCAAAAAAGAGAAAAAAGATGAGGCGCAGAAGGTAATCCGACAGCTGCCAGCTGTTTGCTCTGATCCGGGGAGGGCTGCGGGTTTAATCTAGCCGACATCTGGACCGGTCTGCAGACGGATCCGCGCGCTCTGGACGTTTAGCTTTCTGCTTACAGGAGAGCAGACAGTTAGTTAACGGGAGCGACTCTGGCTGTAACGTTTGTCAGCATCTTTGGGCGTAAAGAAAAGTATCTCGTTTGAGGTGCTGAATCAGCCATCATTACAGGATGACTCGTATTTAGACTCTCTGACGTGGTCTGGTAGCTTTTATTTAATAGGGAAGACAATCCTTTATGTTATGGTTACATTTGTTCCAGTTTGGATTTGATCTGTGAATTTAAGCCAAACTATTTCATTGTTGTAAAAAAAAAAAAAAGAATTTTTAAATAGAATTGTGACAAAAATGAAGCTTTAAAAACTTTATAATCAGAAGAACTTGGCTGATTTCTCAGATTTTTATTTCAGATTGAAATGTATCTCTCCTATGCTGAAACCAGTCGCTACGCTCATTTTTTTTAGTGAATCAGGGTTCTGCCCAGCACATGAAGCCGAAATGCTGTTTTAATGAGCCGAGAAAACAGTTTTTAAACACATTTAGCTCTTTATTTGCACCTATAAGTAAGAAAGGTGCTGTAGCAGGTGAACCCCACAGCCTTCAGGCTGTCATCGACTCACTCTGAGCGCTCAGCGGCAGGAGAGCACGTATGCTGCTGCCCCTTCAGCAGAGAGGAAGCTTCGAAGGCAGGGGTGAAGTTAGCGGGTCAAGGAGGATTCCTGAGAGGCCGCTCTGTTAACGCTCTCATAAAAGAATGACTCGTACTATTTAGAGACTCTCTGACGTGGTCTGGTAGCTTTTATTTAAAAGGAAAAACAATCCTTTATGTTATGGTTACATTTGTTCCAGTTTGGATTTTATCTGTGAATTTAAGCCAAACTATTATGAAGTTAACTTTATTTCATCGTTGTTAAAACAAAACAAAAAAACTACATATTTTGTAAATAGAATTGTGACAAAAATGAAGGTTTAAAAACTTTATAATCAGACAAAGTTGCCTAATTTCTCAGATTTTTATTTCAGATTTAGTTTCATTTTCTAAATGTTTTCATTCATTTTTAGATCTTATTTGTTCAAATATTCATATTTTTTCAAATGTCTGTTTTTTTTCAATATATTTAAATTTTGCAATTATTTTATTTCGTTTTCTTTAAAAAAATAAATTATTCAATTTAATTTTGTTTATCTCTATAGCGCCAATTCCCATCACATCATCTTAAGGCACTTTACAATTTAACCAGATCATGCAGTCAAATTGATTCAAAGTTTTCTATCTAAGCATTATTAACTAGAAGGCAATCCCTCACACTAAGCAAGCTTTTAGCGACAGTGGAGAGGGAAAACTCCCTTTTAACAGGAAGAAACCTCCAGCAGAACCAGGCTCAGTGTGAGCGGCCATCTGCTGAGGCCCACTGGGGTTCAAGGAGACAGAAAAAGACATGGATTCCGATTTTACTTTTACAAATTTCATTGTTTTGAAAATACTTTTTTCAGATTACATTCTCTTCACTTCCGGGGGCGCGCTTTCCTCTGGAGAGGGGAGCAAAGAAGCATTTGTATTGGTCTTCTGACCGTTAGCAACATTAACTTTGTCAAGAGTGAGCTTTTGTATTGGGCTTGAAGTGAAGAGAATGCAATAAAATAAACAATAATAATGCAAAAACAAAAATGGAGTAAACAGATAAGTTTACTGTGCTTAAAAAAATAGTGGAACAAATTTCACTCCATACTGTTCTGCTTACGGTTGGTTTTTACTCCCATCCAAACTCAGTACTTGTATCAAAAGCCAAATGTTTCCCAACCAATTAAGCTCTATAAAATGAAGATCTTTTTTATTTCTAGATGTTTTCACTATAGGTGATGTTTTTTTTCTTTTTTGCATGTTTGTAGATTAAAATCTTTCACATCGGTGCAAAAACTGTAATGCTCACAAATAGCCACCAGGGGGAGCATGTTAATAAAAAAAATAACCTTGCAAAGCTGCATGTTGTTTAGAATGGTAGATGTTGCGGATGAGTTGGAGCTGTAGTGTTTGCATCTGTGCTGCAGCAGCTCAGCAGCAGGTTATCAGGCGGAAATGACAGTTTACTGTTTTTATCTCTTAAAAGGTTCAAATGAAGTTTCTGGTCGAGCAGATGAAGAGGCCTGACTACATGGATGCACTACAAAGCTTTACCTCTCCGCTGAATCCTGCACATCAGCTGGGAAACCTCCGGTATACCCCCCACCCACCCACAATCATGTTTGAAATGGGAGCTGTTAAGTATTCCTGCATAGTCCTGCCTGCCATGCCTAGAAAGAACTTAGAAAGCTCTGCTGCATGACTCAGCGGAGTGACAGCGACAGTTTGATCCGTCCCAACGAGCACAGATGCAGTGAAGAAGAGCCGACTGTCTGCTAAATTATTATTATTTTTTTGCTTCTGTTTCAGCCTGGAGGAATGCAGGATGATGTCATCTGCAAAGCGACCTCTTTGGTTAAACTGGGAAAACCCAGATATGATGTCAGAGCTGCTTTTTCAGAACAATGAAATCATCTTCAAAAACGGAGACGGTGAGTTGTGCCTTCCAAACGCTGTTCCTCTCTGACTCCACTCAAATGCAGCATCCGGCTGAAGGCTGCAGGGCGTGTCACGGCGCAGACACTCATCTATCCTCCTGCTCTTTACACAGAATTCACAAACGTGTTGTTTTAGATTCTCGCTCTGGTCGCAGCTCATTTCGGCTCGACTTTGACGCAGCTGCTCCACAAAAAACGCGGCGGAGCTGATCAAAGCAGCTAATATTCACAGTTATTCACCTTGATGCTTCTGCAGATCTGAGGCAGGACATGCTGACGCTGCAGATCATTAGGATAATGGAGAACATCTGGCAGAACCAGGGCCTTGATCTCAGGTAGGCTGCTCACTTCCTCATGACAGCAGGAATGCAGGTGGGCTTTTAGAGTGGAAGCCCCCTCCCCTCTCTGCTCATCTTTTTATAAACTAATCCATCATTTCTGTTCCTTTATATATTTTTTTTATCTCTCCTCTCCCTCCCAGGATGCTGCCGTACGGCTGCCTGTCTATCGGCGACTGTGTGGGTTTGATCGAAGTGGTGAGGAATTCTCACACCATCATGCAGATCCAGTGCAAAGGAGGCCTGAAGGGGGCGCTGCAGTTCAACAGCCACGCACTGCATCAGTGGCTCAAAGATAAGAACAAGGGAGAAATGTGAGCATTTTCATACAGCTTTTTCAAAAGTATTAACATCCCTCTACATTTTATTTATTTACTGGTGAAATCTGAAGCTATTTTATTGCTTTTTTAATACGATAGAACAGAAAGTTCCAAAAATCTGAACTGACAACCCCCTAAAAATACATAGAAATTTGAAAAATAAATTTGAATCTTTAATGATTTATTGTATTTAATTATTTAAAGTTATATTTAATATTACAGTTAATGCATGTTACATCTACCTACTTCAGGACAAAAATATTTCAGTTAGTTGGTGTTTTTCTTCCTTTATCACAGGAATACTTTATCTAATCCCTTCTAGCTCCATTTCTATGGTGGTTCTCATGCAGCCATCTTCTCAGCTCCTCCATCCCCGCGTTTAATCGTCTAATTGGTGCTTTCACCATGATAGACAGTCATATCTACTAATAACATTTTCTATTTTGGTTTTTGTTTTGTTTTTTTCTGGAGCATGTAAGGTCATTTATGTGATATTTGACTTCACTGTGAGTTGTTTTTACTACAAAAAGCTGCTATGCTTAAACTTCAGGGTATCGGTTCTTCTTAGGTAGGCTGCCGATCGAATTACAGAACGCGCTGCACCCTCTGTGTTCGCCATTTCTAGACTGCTTTTCGGAGGGAAAGTCCACAGGAACTGAGCGCTGCAGTTGCATCTAACCAACCAATAGGCTGCCATTGTAGCCTGAAGACACCGCCCCTCATTATCATATGTTAAATGATAAATTAAAAAATAAGGAACTACTTAATGAATAAGGGAAATTGGAAAAATGGGAAAATTAAATTTTTTTCAAACAAATGGTAAATGAAAAATAGATAAAAGAAAAATTGGTAAATAAAAAAGGGATATATGAGAAATTGATTAATGAAACCAGGAAATTGAACAGTGGTTAAATTAAAAGATAGATTAATGAAAAATGGGTAAATAGATAAAGAGATTAATGAAAAATGGGTAAATGAAAAATAGACAAATGAAAAATAGATAAATGAAAAATAGATAAAACAGAAATTGAGAAATAGATAATCTGAAAAATAAATAAATAAAAAAATTGGCTTAATGAAAAAGGGAAATTGAAAAGTGGTTAAATGAAAATTAGATTAATGAAAAATGGGTAAATGGATAAAGGGATAAATGACAAATAGATAAATGAAAAAGAGAAATTGGGAAACTTCTTTTGTTAGTTTGACAACTGAAACCTTAAACATTAAAGAGGTGAACGGGTGTGATTACTTCTGGATCACACCCGTTTGGGTCACAGAGACACCAGCTGATCCTTTTGTCCGTCCTCCAGGTACGACCAGGCCATAGATCTGTTCACCCGCTCCTGTGCCGGCTACTGCGTGGCCACCTTCATCCTCGGCATCGGTGACCGACACAACAGCAACATCATGGTGAAAGATGACGGACAGGTAGGAGGCGACTGCGTCTGACTCACCCGCTTCCTGTTTCCAAACGCTTTCTTGTTGTTTTTTCTTTGCTGTGTTTTCTTAGCTGTTCCACATAGATTTTGGGCATTTCCTCGACCACAAGAAGAAGAAGTTTGGGTACAAGAGAGAGCGGGTCCCGTTTGTGCTCACGCAGGACTTTCTGATCGTCATCAGCAAAGGAACCCAGGAGTGCACAAAAACCAGAGAATTTGAAAGGTGAGGTCGCCGCAGTAAAACCAACTTTAGTCCAAACTGAGCTTTTTGAATCAGAGAAAATTTAAAGCTTTATTTTCGACCAACGCCTCAGTTGACATAATTATTATCTTTGAGAACACAGCGAGACGGATCAGCTCTGCTAATGCTACGTTCACACCACAAGCAGCTAGAGCAATTTTGGGGAAGATTTATCAGTTAAAGGAAAAGTCCGGTCAGCAAGGAATAATCAGTGGATCATTATTTATACCTATAACTAATACTTTTGCAGTGATTTAATGAATTTAGTGTTAAAACTAGGGATGCACGATATTGGGATTTTGGCCGATATCCGATATGCCGATATTTTAAAACTCGTGTAGCCGATAACCGATATCGATACCGATGTTAAAGCTGGACAAAAATAAGTAGTCATTGAAAATAGCAGTTTTGTTATCCATTTCTGACACTTTGAAAAATAATATACTCACATATATATTTTCATATGCTGATATCAAATTGATTTTTAAAAACGCGGTATCGATCTATTTTACTTTCAAAATCTGGTGAAATTTCATCGTTCTGTTACAAACTCTCGTGATATTTTGCAAATTCTTGTGAGATTTTGTTAGTAAAATAGATCGATACCGCGTCAATATATCAACATATAAAAATATGGCAAAATTTCGTGAATTTTCGGGGGATTTCGTAGCATAACGATGACATATAGCAATATTTCATTAGTAAAAGAGATTGATATGGTGTTTTTAAATGGCAATATATAGTATATTTAATAATATATTTTTCTAAGCACACAACAGTTTAAAGCAAAGTTTAGTTTGAAAAGAATGTGCAGGAAGGATAGAAAAGCATGTTAACACGGTAATGTAGGCTTGAGTTTATTATCTGACGCATGCAGATACACACCAGGAACCTGGAAACTTAAAAAATACTGAATTACAAAAAAACATTTAAAAAACAAACATGTTTCATTGATATATACAAAAATGAATATTAGGAACTATATTTATCAAACATTATACTGGGCAAGTAAAAATTGTTTCTCGGCAAATGAAAAGTGAAAGCCACTTGCCCTTTGCTGTTAGCATCATTTTTGTGTTTGCAGGTCATTTGTACTTCTCATCCACCTTACAAAATCTCCCTGTTGACGATCCAAAATATTTTATCTCCCCTCTATTGCATCAAATTTGATTCCTATGCCTTAAAGAGCTCCTTTCTGTTTATAAAATGATTGATTGGCTCGGATATTATGGGGTTTATTTTCCCCATAGTATAAAGATTTTTCACTACTGTAATAAAGCATACCTTTTACCTTTACTCGGAGGCAAAACGGATGTTTTTCTGTAATTTGATGGCAAATATAAACATTTTTGGTTAGAAACTTGAGCCCAGATCAAGAATCTCTTGATCTCTTTCGCCCCTCAGGTTCCAGGAGATGTGTTACAAGGCCTACCTGGCAATCCGGCAGCACGCCAACCTCTTCATCAACCTCTTCTCCATGATGCTGGGCTCGGGGATGCCTGAGCTGCAGTCGTTCGACGACATCGCGTACATCAGGAAGACCCTGGCGCTAGACAAGTCTGAGCAGGAGGCCCTGGACTACTTCATGAAGCAGATGAACGACGCCCATCACGGCGGCTGGACCACCAAGATGGACTGGATCTTCCACACAATCCGCCAGCACGCCATGAACTGAGAGGAGGGGGGGGAGCCGTTCCGAACAGCTTAACCTCCCCCGTTAGAGACATTGAAAAGGACTTGGAGAACCATTGAAGTTTTACTTCACATGAACCTAATTAGTATAAAAGAAAAAAACCTCAATGAACACTAATCTTTATAAAAACTCTAAAAAAATATATTATTTTCTTACTTTTTAATCCCTTCCATACGTCCCCAACCATCAGCATCAGGAGCGAAACACGACAAACGCTGCAGCACAAGACGGAAGATGAGCCCAACCAGCCCAAAGTTTACACGGTGGTTTAATAAACACTGAGTGCCCCAGTAAGGCGGCGCCCCCCCGCATCATTAACAGACTTTTCTACAGCAGTATCTCTATTTGCCTATACGCATTTGGTGCACATGTTCCTTTTTAACAGAGTTTTCTACTGAGCCAAAGTTCCCTGTATATTTGTGTGTATGCGTGTGTTTAAAACCCGACTACATGGCAGTCTTATTTTAAACCAACCCAAAAAAAAAAAGAATTCCCCTCTATTCCACGGCTTGTGTTCACATTAGCACTGATCTCTGCAGTATTTGTTTAGTCTGTCAGTATTACTGTCACCTGTAAAGAAACCATCATCCAGACCCGACCTCACAGGACGACAAAGCTCCTCTTTTTGGTTCTTTTTTTTCTCCAGGATTCGAAAAATGAGGAGGGAAAAAAAAAGCGGATTTGAATGTTCCTAAAGCATCACGTTCTGTTCTACTATGCAAGTTGTGGCTCTAAAAATGTACTGTATGCTAGAAAAAGACTGAAACCTCCCTGAGGATACTCGGAAATGTGTCGGTGAAGGAGAGACGGCTGCCTTGAGGGGGGAAAAACAAAATAGATGCCAGACTGCTTCCATTGGAGGAGTACGGTCTGCTTCCTCCCTGCAGAATGAGATCTGTTTGGGAAAACACTTCAAATCCTGCCTGGTTTTTTTTGTTTGTTTTTTTATTTTGGGTGGGAACGGGTCCTGAAGCATCAACCCAAGCTGTGCTCCTCATACTAATCCTTCATTTTGACATGTGGGAAAAGAAAACGGGATATTCCTCCGCCTTCAAAGTAGACCCGGGTTACTCCCCCTCTGTTCTCTAAGAAGTTTGTTTCAGAACCTCTTAAATTTTTCTATCATCCACATTTCCACAGTTAAAGTCCCGCTAATGAGACGATTGACAGGATGGAAAACAAACAGCAGGCTACCTCCCCTACATATAGCCATTTATTGCATGATTTAACTTGGTTAGATCAGACCAACATGGCAGTTTGGAGATGTATTCATAAGGTGTAAAACGAAGTAAGCCTTGCTTATCATTAGCTAGCTAATAAAACAGGAATCTAAACTACAAGCAGCGTTTCTATAAAGCAGCAGGCTAGCTAGCGCAGCGGGAAACGGCTAACCAGCTAATATAATGTAAGTTAGGGGGTTAATGTTGTTCAGATACTGTTTAAAGCAAAGAACAAGTTTTGGAAAAGAAAAAAAAATAAGTTAAAGAGAAAAGGAATTCTGATAATGAAACTTTGAAAAATCTTTTTCATAAAAAAAAAAGTTTTTTTTCAGTTTTTGTTAAATTTTTTTCCCTATTTTTTTTCCAAAAAGTATATTTTTGAAATGCAAAAAAAAAATGTGATTTAAATTTTTTTTTCCATCCAAATTTCATATATATACTTTTATTTACAGATTTTTTTTTTTTCATTTCAAATTGCAGATTTTCAGGTAGAATTTTATCAATTTCCTTCTTTTCAAACCTCCTGTTCCAGATAATTTTCTCTTTGTCAGCGACTCATTTCGACTGGATGTTAGCAACAACATTTTACCGTCGAAAAGGGATTGTTTATATTCTGCTGGAAGTGAAGAGAATGTGATCTGGAAAATTCAAACTGAAAAGAATGAAATTAGTAAAAATATTGGATAGAAATTTGCCCCCGAAAAAGGAAAATCTAAAATCTGTAATCTAAAATCTTTGTCATGCAAAAAAAACTGATTTACATTTTTTTTCCACATCCAATTTTCATATATATATATTAACAGATTTTTTTTCATTTTCAAATTGCAGATTTTCAGGTAGAATTTTATCACTTTCCTTCTTTTCAAACCTCATGTTCCAGATAAATTTCTCTTTGTCAGCGACTCATTTCTACTGGAATTTAGCAACAACATTTTACCGTTGAAAGCGGATTGTTTATATTCTGCTGATTGTCATCTGGAAAATGCAAATTGAAAAGAATGAAATTAGTAAAAATATCGCGATAGAAATTTGCCGAAAAAAAGGAAAATCTGTAATCTAAAATGTTTGACATGCAAAAAAAAGTCATTTAAATGTTTTTCCCCATCCAATTTTCATATATATATATATATATATATATATATATATATATATATATATATATATATATATATATATATATATATATATATTACAGATTTTTTCATTTTCAAATTGCAGATTTTCAGGTAGAATTTTATCACTTTCCTTCTTTTCAAACCTCATGTTCCAGATAATTTTTTCTCTTCGTCAGCGACTCATTTCTACTGGACGTTAGCAACAACATTTTACCGTTGAAAACGGATTGTTTATATTCTGCTGAATGTGATCTGGAAAATGCAAATTGAAAAGAATGAAATTAGTAAAAATATTGCGATTGAAATTTGCACAAAAAAGGAAAATCTAAAATCTGTAATCTAAAATCTTTGACATGCAAAAAAAAAGTGATTTACTTTTTTTTTCCCCCACCAAATTTTCATACATACCGGTGTATATATATTTACAGATTTTTTTCATTTTCAAATTGCAGATTTTCAGGTAGAATTGTATCAATTTCCTTCTTTTCAAACCTCCTGTTCCAGATAATTTTCACTTTGTCAGCGACTCATTTCTACGGGATGTTAGCAACAACATTTTACCGTTGAAAACGGATCGTTTATATTCTGGTGATTGTCATCTGGAAAATGCAAATTGAAAAGAATGAAATTAGTAAAAATATTGGATAGAAATTTGCCCCCAAAAAAGGAAAATCTAAAATCTGTAATCTAAAATCTTTGACATGAAAAAAAAAGTGATTTACATTTTTTTCCCCATCCAATTTTCATATATATACATATTTATTTATATACAGATTTTTTTCATTTTCAAATTGCAGATTTTCAGGTAGAATTTTATCAATTTCCTTCTTTTCAAACCTCCTGTTCCAGATAATTTTGACTTCGTCAGCGACTCATTTCTACTGGACGTTAGCAACAATATTTTACCGTCGAAAAGGGATTGTTTATATTCTGCTGGAAGTGAAGAGAATGTGATCTGGAAAACGCAAATTGAAAAGAATGAAATTATTAAAAATATCGCGATAGAAATTTGCCCAAAAAAAAGAAAATCTAAAATCTGTAATCTAAAATCTTTGACATGCAAAAAAAGGGATTTAAATTTTTTTCCCCATCCAATTTTCATATATATGTATATATATATATATTTACAGATTTTTTCATTTTCAAATTGCAGATTTTCAGGTAGAATCTCATCGATTTCCTTCTTTTCAAACCTCATGTTCCAGATCATTTTCTCTTCGTCAGCGACTCATTTCTACTGGATGTTCGCAACAACATTTTACTGTTGAAAACGGATTGCTTATATTCTGCTGATTTTGATCTGGAAAATGCAAATTGAAAAGAATGAAATTTGTGAAAATATCGCGATAGAAATTTGCCCAAAAAAAGGAAAATCTAAAATCTGTAAGAAAACGAAAAAGAATCTCACTTCTCTAGGAAAAAGGAACATTTTAGAAAAGAAAACAACTCTGGAAAAAAACCTCAAAACCTTTTATTGACTCATTTCTGGATTGCTTTATTTTTTTAATTGAAATTAGCAAAATATCTTCTTTGCATTCAGTTGTAATGAAACCAAATTCCTTACATAATAAGTCATGATCATACATCTGCTTCATTTATGCATCTGATTAAAAAATAGATGACTTTTTTTTTTCTTTTTAAGTCGACCTGAAACAGAAATAGTCTCTTTAATCAATCATTTTAACATTTAACTCGTGTTTATCTACAGTAGGCTACATTGTTTCCCCTTTGGTGCAAAAACTCATGGATCCACCTTGAGCTGCTGCTCAGCAAACCAAACCCAACGAGGGGCTTAGCAAACCCCTCGCTCTATTCAACCGTCTCCTTTCGTACTGCTTATGTTGTGCATGAGGTCCTCGTATATCAAACCCTATCGTCCGATGTTTACTTGAATATCATGTACAGAACCGATCTCGTTACTCCTCGAGGTACAGTCCGAATGAAGGTAACAGATACTATTACATGTGCAAATGCTTTCCTTGAATAACTACAGAGGTAATATATATTTTTGTATTTTTTAGATGTAAAAACAAACGCGTATGTAACCTGTTAAAAAGAAGAATAAAAGAAAAAAAAAAGTGGCAACGCGTTGATACCAAGTCCAGCAGCAATCCTGCGTGTGTCGTAGAGGAGGGGGGTGAATGACGGACAGGTCGTCGTGTCGTTTACCCTTCCTGTCGAACCGAGGCCTCCTGCCCTGAAGTGGAACTCTAAGCACAAAATGTTTTTTGAAGAACCATACCTTGCATGTTTGAAAGCAAACCTGTTTTTAATTTTCTGTCATGTATTCACCTGTCTATAAACCATGCAGCTTCTTCAGATAACTTGTTTTATTCATCCTCATGTGACCATGTCTGTTTAAGCAAACTATACATTCATTAATTGTGCTGTTGAATAAAAACAAAAATGTTTCCCTCATTAGATTTTTCTCTGCAATTCAATCAGAATCCATCAAGAGGTTTTCATTGATGAACATCATGCTGTGGATTTTCAGAAGTTTTTCCTCTGACCTCAAGATCAACTTTTAAATAAAAAAGTCCAACATTTTGAGTGAACCTCAGATCAAATGTTAAAAGGAACCGGTTAGTTTTTGTCATTAATGTAAAGCTGACTCCAGCTGGGTTAAAAACGTTCAGCTCTCTGATCTGGAAGGCATTTTCTCCATCGTACTGGTTGTTCCTGGATGGCTGGAAGAAGCTGCGTTTGGATCCAACTCTGTTCTTGTACAGAGTGGAAGGCAAAGCATTGGCTCATCAATGGACTCGTCTTTTCTTTCTGCTGATTTTTATTTTTTGTTTTTCTGGGGGTGGAAATATCTTCGTCCCGAGTAGCAGACTGACTCACTCATTTCTGGCGCATCGTTTAGAGGAGCTGCTATGCTGTCATGTAGACCCGGGTTTCTTAACCCTGATCCTCAGAGCCAACTTAGATGCCTCCCTGCCTTCACAAACCTGACCTGAATGAAAAAGTGATCTGCAGGCTTTTGCAGCATTTGATGGCTACAGAGGAGGTAATGCAACCATTTGAATCCGGTTTACTTGAGTGGAAAAGCATCTAAAACATGAAGGACAGAAAAGAAACTTATTTTGAACATGCATGGGTTATCTGAAGCTCTCAGCTGTCCTAAAGTGTTTCTCACTGCAACTAAACCTCCAAGGATTGGAGTGTACAGGTGGCAAGCGTGCCAGATTGTAGACCTGGAACCGGTTGTGCCACCGACTCTATTTTGTTACTGCCACATCAGAAAAATGTTGTATAAACATATATTAGATATCTCAGTTTTCATCTGCTATATCTGGAGTTTCCAGAGCTACAAGTGGCTCTTTTGGTTTAATTAATGCTTAAATGAATGCTCTGTTCCTCTATTCAAAAAACCACAGAAATAGCCCACCCTGAACTAAAAGTGTCTTAGATATGGTGTTTCAATGTTCAACTAAATATGATAATTTGCTAAGACGAAGTTCTCTTGCTAGCAGTATAATGATTGAATGTCTTAAACTTAATTTTAATATTAATATATTAATAAATTAATATATCAATGTCTAATCCATGGTGAGTCAACTATTGGCTGAACCGTACCAGTGTAACAAGTTCAGTATGTTTCAGTTCTTTGGTTTGATAACAGTTTTGTTTTTAAGACTTTTTTTTAAAGCTAAATGCAAAAATGTAATGTTATAGTCATTAAAAATCCAATGTTTCTTCTTTTAGCTCTCTGAACAAAATATTTTTTTGTTTTCATGTATAGATTCCAGAAAATGATTAGTGAAAAAGCTGCAGGTTAAAATTGATCAAAAAAACATTTAATTGAGGCCTTTTTAGGGTTTTGGCCTTTTAAGTTAAATAAAAGGCAGACATAGGGTTAGGTAAAGAATATTTATGAAAATAAACAAAAACACTGTTTCAGGGTTATAACTCTTAACAAGAGTAAAAAAAAAAAACAACGATAAATTTAAAGTCGTAGGGAAGCGGCTGTTCCAGCGGTTGCATTTCCGAATTCTCCCGAGTGGTGCCCGACTTTACACGGGTGAATAAAGCGAATGTGATTGGTCAATTATCAAGGGGGCGGGATCGTTGTAGCAAAAGGTTCGCAAGCTTTTTAGTTGTGGCCGGTTTGTCGGAAGCATCTTGCTAACCAGTTAGCAACTTAGCCACTTTTGTTGAAATTTGCATTTTCTTATTCTCTAGCACTTTCTTTGCCTCGTGTTTCTTTTCCGAACATACATCTTTACGATAAACCGGAAGCAGTTCCATGCAAACATGCGGAACCAGTTATATCTGACGAAATTGTTTTTATAATTATTTTTTTTTAAATAAAGCATTTTAAAAGCCATGATAATGATGTTTAATAAATGTTAATGCCAATTAAGGCATTACACAAGTGAATAAAGCAAATGTGATTGGTCGTTTATCAAGAGGGTGGGATTGTTGTGGCGAAAGGTTTGCAAGCATGTTTGGTTGTGACCGGTTTGTCGGAAGCATCTTGCTAACCAGTTAGCAACTTAGTGCTAGCAGGTTCCAAATGGGAAATTCCATTGGGACCAAGTAGCACTAAATTGGTGACTTAGAAACGACGCTGTCAAGGAACGCTATGGACAGAGGAAACATGCAAGAGGAGGAGAGTTTAGTGTCGGAGGTCGTGGATGAGTCTCCTCCGTCATCCATTTTTTATTTGGAGGAGGAAAGCGGGGACGAAGATGTTGTGGAAGAGGACGCCAGGGCGGCAGAAGCTTGGTTTGGTGTAGAAGGCTTCGAGCCGTACATGTTTGAGCCCTTGCCTCGCAACGCTGCCAGTTCTGTTAGCTCTACGCCTGCCGAAGACACAGACGTCCATCCCCGGGAACACTGGGACGGAACTCAATGGGAAAGGAAATTATTCTGATTTGTTATTTCAACCGTTGCGTATCTTAGCTGCGACTATAAATCATGATGCTATGACTGAAAACATTTGACAGATAACCATTGATATATGATTGGCCAAATTTAGGTGAACAGGCTGACGTATAACTTATTGGCCTGCATAAGATAAGGAGAAAAACCCCCACTGATTTTAAGACAAGATTTTTTTAAACAGAAGTTTTCAAAATTTTGGGACCATATGGTCTGATAAAGAACACATTTATATACATGTTTAAGCCAGAATGATTTGACATTTAAATATGATTTCCCTACGACTTTAAACAAAAGGGATCGGCACTTTTATCTTCCTTTTATTTCTCACCATTGGCTCAGGCTAAGTAGAGATGAGAATGACCTTACGAGATAGGGCTGTAAGGAAATAAACAGCTCTTCAAACAGAAATATGTGGATATTTAGACATATCAATGGTGATGTGTCATGATTTAGCTCATGAAGGAATTCCAAGTGGTGTTTGTCTCTGGCTGCAGGGTTTAATAAGTCATGAAGGGGATTGCAGGCTTGAGCTCTGAATAAGTCTGTAGAATTTACCCTGAGTGTTTCTAGAAGTCCAATGTCCTCCTGTTGAATAACGGTTCATGTCCGTGGACAGGCGGGCCAGGCACTGAGTCAGCTTCACAAGTCCCACCAGCAAAGATCCACCACCCAGCATCAGACTGGGCCACAGCAGTCCAAACAGCGCCCTCTGCAGGGTGTACTTCCTGTTCAAGATGGCATGGTTGGGCTGGCCCTTTTGGTCCATGAAACACAGCGAGTCGTTCTGCAGCTTAGTGTCCACCCACTTTTTTACTTTCTGCGCTTCTTCTTGAAGGGCCTTTCGGTCCATTTGACATTTGGGGAGGTAAAAACACTGGAAATGAAGAAAAAAAGTCAATTTAATCTTTCATTTTATAGATCGCCAAAGTAGGAGGACAAAGGCAAGGGAGGAAGGAGGCTCAAAGATTTGATTGTAATGACAATACTTTGACCTCAACTCTTCAGTTCCCTATGTACCCCCATCAGGGGCAGCATGACTCTTCATTCAAGGATATTATTGTCACAATGTTGGTTCTGTTAAGTTTTTTGTGAGTTTTCAGTTTCACATTGATCCATGTTTTTCTTTGTTTTCTAGCTTTATTGGCGTTTTCTTGATATATTTCAGTTCTTAGCTTTTTCTTTGCTTGTCCTACGTTGCTCTCTGGTGTTTGTCTCCTTTTCCCTAGCTCCTTGTCGAAGCCTCTGTTCACACCTGCTCCCAATCAGCTCATTAGTCCTGTCTTTGTTCAGTCTCCCATAAATACCCTCTGTTGCCTGTGAGAACTCAATTAAAACTACAAGAACTCACCTCTGCCTCCTCACCTCTCCCTTTGGGTCCTCAAAACCTCAACCAAACCTCGACAATTATGAACAGGACATTGTTTGAACAAGTAAGAATTCTTACCTCATTTGGAAGAAAGACTGAGTCCTCATCCAGCTGGAGAAAGGCAGACTGATTGGAGCCGGCGATGCTGACTGTCACCGTCAGGCAGGGCACAGTGCTCACCCCTCTGCAGTCCACCCACTCCTCCAGAATATTACTCTGAGGCAGGACACAGCTAGACTCCTCCCAACGACTGAAGGGCAATCAGAAGGAAGGTTTAATGTTAGGTTGGCCGAAGACTCTGGGGTCCATTTCAATGATTAGGTTTAACAAACTCAGATTCAATTCCTGGACCCACTACTCAGAAGTAAAAAAAAAAAATGGAGAATGGATTTAAAAGACGGAGCAAAAGTGCTACAACTGCAAAGGAGAGGAAGTGTGCGACCGGTCTAAATAGGTAGTACCAATATGGCAGCCGATGGCTTCACTTTAACCCCGTACTACTAATGGGCAATCCAGTGAAGAAATAGAGATCAGTGGGAGGAACCCCATGACATGATGACCAGGTCCTATCTATTAGATCAATATTTTTAGGCTTAATTTTTACCTGCTGCCAAGTGATTTTAAAACACACAACCCTTCTCCCCACTTCATCCTTTGTCAAGATTATTTTCTCTTTTTTCTATTTTGATTGAAAAAAAGCCTTGTCTCTGCTGTCTCCTTCACTAAAACTGTGGTAAATTCATGATACTTCCTCATCACCTAATTTTTAGACTTAAAAACACAATATATATATGCTACGCTTGTAGATCCATTTGACTTTGGATGCTAGGTTTTGCTATTTTTCGCTGATCCTTAGTAAACATTTCACCCAAGCCAATAAAAATGGTTTATCTAACTCCCAAATATGAGCAACAAAAGACTTTGGCATCAGGATGAATTTTACAGTAGACCTATCTATACACAGTTGGAACTAGTCGCTACTGCACAGTTGCTTACCCCTCCTGTAATGGCGGTGAGGACGTCAGGTGTGATACCCTGAATGTATGATGTGACTTATTCATCTATAGCATTGTTTGCTATAGATAAATTAGCAAACAATGCTCCATGATTTAATTGGTAAGCCTTTGAAGGCAACCAGAATAAGTTAAGTCATAGTAAAGGTCTAATCCCCTTCAAAGAGCTACCCTACATATTGGATTAATTCAAACCAGGTTTTAGGTTGGGGTTGCCTCCTGTTCAACATGAACTTTCAGTTTTTTTCCATTATCAATCGACTTTGCTTTTAAAGAGTAAGTTATCGTATTATCAACTTTTTCTGCAGTTAAACTGATTCTGTGGGTGGTAATGCGTATCTTAAAACCTGCTCAATGCTCTCCTAATGACCTAACGGTCAACATGGAGGTTGCTAAATGATTTTCTGAACCGAGCGCCTTACATTGAGGAGTCTTTGACCCACTGGGTTCCATAAAGCCTCTCAACCTCCAGTGATGAAGGGGATGCAAAATCCTCCACTTTAAATATCTGAGAGTAAAATGGTAAATGGCATGTACTTATATAGCGCCTTTATTCAAGTTAGGAGACTTGACCAAAGCACTTTACATTCATTCACCCAAACACTGATGGTGGCAAGCTACATTGTAGCTACAGCTGCCCTGGGGCTCACTGACAGAAGTGGGGCTGCCGTACACTGGCGCCACCAGGCCCTCTGACCACCATCAGTAGAGGTGAAGTGTCTTGCCCAAGGACACAACGACACTGAAAGTCAGAGTCAGGGCTTGAACCGTCAACCCTTCGATTTCAGGGCAAACTCCTACATCCAACGCCACTGTCGCCCCATGATAGTGGGGTGACAACCAGCATCTCTTTGCTACCTGTCTGTAGTTTACTAAGGCGAAGCTAAACTGGGCTAGGTAAAGCCCCTGTAGGGTCTCTTAGGTCAATTTGATGCCTTTTTTCAAATTTTGTTTTGGGGACCATGTCTTTTTATTTTTATATAAGGGTGGGTTACACTTTAAACACTTCCCTGCCAGGAAGCGGGGGTTCTACTTGTAGTTTGCATGTTTTATCTCTAACTCCATGGGTTATTTTCCTGTGGTCCAGTAAAGCAGGTATAGAAACCCAAATGACAAAAATTAGCCCAGGTTTTGGATATTTTCTACAGAGTAAATATTGGCATGTTGATGTAAAATCTCAAAGAGTTGCAAGCTCTAATAAGCCTTAGTTTTGATTCTATACAGGGGCTGGTCATAAAATTAGAATATCATAAAAAAGTAGATTGATTTCAGTAATTCCATTTAAAAAGTGAAACTTGTATATTATATTCATACATTACATACAAACTCATATATTTCAGATGTTTATTTTGTTTAATTTTGATGATTACAAATGACAACAAATGAAAATCTCAAATTCATCATATCAGAAAATTAGAATATTACTGAAGACCAATAAAAACAAAGGATTTATAGAAATGTTGGCCAACTGAAAAGTATGAACATGAAAAGTATGAGCATGTACAGCACTCAGTATTTAGTTGGGCCTCCTTTGGCCTGTATTACTGCAGCAATGCGGCGTGGCATGGAGTCGATCAGTCTGTGGCACTGCTCAGGTGTTATGATAGCCCAGGTTGCTCTAATAGTGGCTTTTAGCTCTTCTGAATTGTTGGGTCTGGTGTATTGCATCTTCTTCTTCACAATACCCCATAGATTTTCTATGGGGTTAAGGTCAGGAGAGTTTGCTGGCCAATTAAGAACAGGGATACCATGGTCCTTCAACCAGGTACTGGTAGCTTTGGCACTGTGTGCAGGTGCCAAGTCCTGTTGGAAAATGAAATCTGCATCTCCAAAAAGTTGGTCAGCTGCAGGAAGCATGAAGTGCTCTAAAACTTCCTGGTATGTGGCTGCGTTGACCCTGGACCTCAGAAAACACAATGGACCAACACCAGCAGATGACATGGCACCCCAAACCATCACTGACTGTGGAAACTTTACACTGGACTTCAAGCAACGTGGATGAAGTGCCTCTCTTCTTTTCCTCCAGACTCTGGGACCTTGATTTCCAAAGGAAATGCAAAATTTACTTTCATCAGAGAACATGACTTTGGACCACTCACCAGCAGTCCAGTCCTGTTTCTCTTTAGCCCAGGCAAGACGCTTCTGACGCTGTCTGTGGTTCAAGAGTGGCTTGACACAAGGAATGCGACAGCAGAAACCCATGTCTTTCATACGTCTGTGTGTGATGGTTCTTGAAGCACTCACTCCAGCTGCAGTCCACTCTTTGTGAATCTCCCCCACATTTTTGAATGGGTTTTGTTTCACAATCCTCTCCAGGGTGCGGTTATCTCTCTTGCTTGTACACTTTTTTCGACCACATCTTTTCCTTCCCTTCGCCTCTCTATTAATGTGCTTGGACACTGAGCTCTGTGAACAGCCAGCCTCTTTAGCGATGACCTTTTGTGTCTTGCCCTCCTTGTGCAAGGTGTCGATGGTCGTCTTTTGGACAACTGTCAAGTCAGCAGTCTTCCCCATGATTGTGTAGCCTATAGAACTAGACTGAAAGACCATTTAAAGGCTTTTGCAGGTGGTTTGAGTTAATTAGCTGATTAGAGTGTGGCACCAGGGGCCATCAATTTTGAACCTTTTCACAATATTCTAATTTTCTGATATGATGAATTTGAGATTTTCATTTGTTGTCATTTGTAATCATCAAAATTAAACAAAATAAACATCTGAAATATATGAGTTTGTATGTAATGTATGAATATAATATACAAGTTTCACTTTTTAAATGGAATTACTGAAATCAATCTACTTTTTCATGATATTCTAATTTTATGACCAGCACCTGTAAGTAAGGCCCGGACACTTTGCAGGAAAACCTTATATCTAAACTGAAAGTATTCCAGCTATTAGTGCTTTGCTATTTAGTTTAAAGTTAGATTCCACAGTTTGACAGCATCGTATTTCATCATAAAGCAAACAAAGCATAAAAGACAATGGATAAAGCAGAGTATTATTAGGCTTTATTTTTACTCCAGCAGAAGAGCAGAGAAAGGCCCACACCGGCGGCGCATGTTTAAAAAAAAGATGTAATTTTTCAGCCCTACTGACAGCTCGGATGTGTATACCAGGGTACCTGTCAATGTAAGGCTTGACTGTGGTAATGCCGACTACGAAGAACATGAGCACAGAGAAAGCCATCATGGTGAAACCCAACAAGATAGCTCTGTCCTCTCCGACGCTAGAAACAGGCATCTGACTCCGGGCTCCCTCTGCACCGCCTCCATCTCCTCTCGGGCTCCTTTCCTGCTCCTGCATCACAGATGTGTGGTGGATCTCTCTGTTTCTCTCACACATGCCAAACATAAAAGACATATATTAAAAAACACAGTTTAATAAGACTAATCCTCAGTTTTTATGGTATATTGCTTTATGCACTAAAACAATCTGTTTGCTTAATATTTTTTGACACTTTGACATGGGTGGTTCTAGACAGGGGTCTGGTGTCCTGTGCTGATGATATACTAAATCGGTTTTATATGAGAATTGGCACTGGTACAAATTCCGCTAAGAATTGCTTTCTGACAACAATTTCATTTGTTTGCCTAAGAAAATATTTCAAAGTTCAGGTATTGGACATTTAGTTTAAGCCATGTTGATGCAGAGTTAAATATTGTTGCAAGCAAAAAACTATTTCTAAATAGATTTTTTTTTAAAGAAATAAATAAAAAAATTACTAAAAAAAAAACCCATTTGTGTCATGACCTTAGCCCTGGTAGCTTCTCTGATTACTCACTTCATTCACCTGCCATTTCCTCCTTGTTTTCTAATGATCGGTCACCTTATTCACCTGCTTCCTCTGTTATATATAGCTATCGGCCCAGCTATCAGGGCCAGAACATTATTTGTGTATTCTTAGTTTATTAATGTTAGTTATTCATGTTTGTGTCATGAGCTTTAGTCAAGTTTCTGGTTCATGAGCTGATTCTGGAAAGCCAGTGGATTGAGAGGGTTTAATTTTTGTCTCCTGTCTCCTGTCCGTGTCCTGGCTCTTCTCCGAGCCCTTAGGGTTTTGGCTTGCCGTGCGGGGGGAGTGCGGGTTCTGGTCCTTCTCCGCTGAGCCCTCAGGGTTTTGACTCGGAACGCGGGGGAGGTCAGTTTTGATCCCCATAAGCCTGGCTCCTAGGAGGAAACCAGTTTAAAGTTTGGCATTTATCCTGGAACAATGTCTTGTCTTAGTTCCACTCTACCACTGAGCCAGCTTGTCTTGGCATCTGAACCTGCCTTCACACTCTGAAGATTCCCAGAAGCCTGGATCCCTCTGTTCCTGTTTGGATTGGAATCTCTGATCAGGCTGGGAACTCCTGGATTCCTGAACTGTTCCTGCCTGATCTGTTTTCCCCTGACCTGTATCGGCTTCCTGCATGTTCTCCGGGGCTGCAGCATCTGGGACACTCTGGGCGGCGCACGCTGCATCTCGTTGGCAGCCCATCAGCTGGATTGCACCTCTTTAAAAGGTCATGGTTGACCTTTTAAGCCAGGTAAGTGACTCACTCTGATAATCATCTCCTGTCAGATGATCATGGTCACTTACCTGTGCTTCTCTAACATCCAGAGTGCCAGTGATGGGTTGTTGAACTCCTGTTTAAAACAGTGTTATAAAAGCTCTGCTTCCCACTCGGGAGAAATTGGACAGATTTCCAGAATTGCTTTGAGGCGAACTGATGGTCCTTCTTAATGGCCTCTCCAAACTTGCAAGCAGAGGCACAATTGGCCTAACAATACCTGCTTGCTGCTCATGAGTCCAACAGGCCAACTGGAGACAATAGGACTCCGTCTTCAGCTTGACTGCATCCCTTACTAACAGTGTCCACCACCAGGTTTGGCCATATCTCTCACCAAAGGCACCACAGACATTATAGCCACAGCTATGGGCAGCCACATGTGTATAGAGGCAGAGAATATGGTTCACTTAGACTCCATGTGTTCGGCCTCCTTTGGAAACTGGGAAAAGCTGACTTGGTGGTGGGAGTTAAATACATCCCTGACAAAGGACTCCACAACACATTCACAGCAGACCCTAACTACTTGCTTGGTCCTGTCGAGTCTGTCTGGCTTCCTCTTCTTCCAGTGTATCCAACACACCCCATTGCGGTGTTGATTGGTGGACAGCTCCACCCTTCTCTTTACCTGAGTGTCCATGATATGTGGCCATAAGTCGGAGGATACTACTGCTAAGTCGGTCATCAATCTCCGGCCTACGTTGTCCTGCTATGGACATCCTGAATACTGTTTATTATGGACAATCCATGACTTGGACAGAAGTCCAATAATAAAACACCTCTTGGGTTCAGTGTTGGCCTGGTACTCCATACTCCATCCATACAGCCATTTGGCCCGTTGGTCGAAACAACCATGAGAGACCCCCCCTTCCCGAAGGCAAAAGGACCAACATGGTAAATTGCAACACTTGGTGGCTGAGACAAGCAAACCCAACCCCAGCCCTATGCCCCCTCCCCAGAGTAGAAGAAAATCTGCTGTGTCTCTAGGAGCTGGGTTCCAGAGCTTAGGCAATGTTTGGAAGCGACCCCGACTATTTCCAACCTCTTGGTTGTTAAGGGCTTCATATGGGAGAAGAATGTATAGATTGTATAACTGGTTCATCAAGCACTCAATAATGAGACGATAGAGAAGGAGAACCACAGTCTCTACTTATCAGAGTTTATTAGTCTCATTAGTGTATAGTTGTTGTTTTTTTGCTAAAATAGTGACATTTTTTTTTACATATCCTGATGTTGAAACAGTCCTCATCTCACCTACTGATACATTTAGCTGTGTAAAAGGCTAATACTTATCTGACTAATTAGAGTTTTGGAAAACTGTACATGAGTAGGTTAGTGACATTACAGAAAAGGCCATTTTCCTGCATGTAGATAGCATCTCCTGGTTGTTATGGAGACAGGATTAACTAAGGATCCATCTATTTGCTGCAGATCTCAGGGAAACATTTTATTGAAAACTCATTAGAAGTCTCTGGAAATCAACTTCAAATCAAGGTCAAGAACAATTTCTACAAATGCTTCAGTTGCATGTGTATTAAGAAAGATTTAGAGGTACCGGTAATGGTGCTACTGGTGATTTAGTTGAAATATGGGGATTGCTTCACCAAATAAATGTATACAGATAAAAAAGTTATCATTATTGGTGTGAGATTCAGCTGCTGGAATAAAGGTGGATTGATTGTAAGACTTTCTGTGCATCATTACCAAGACATATAAGCCTAAATTTGGTATTCTAAACAGTTTCACTTCATGGAAACTTGGGGCATTCATGTTTCTGTTTTCACATGCACACTAACAGTGTTTGTTTTGTAAAGCTCTGCTTACATTTCAAAGTTTAGCTTAGTTTTTTCCGCCATAATGAACTCCCTGCAGCGTTTTCTGAAGCCTCGCTGACCAGCCCAGTCGATCATTTGCTCTTACCGTGTCTGCCGCCTGCGAGCCCCATGCAGGTTGATGTTAATGGGGATGCTAAATGACCTCCGGGGAGAAGCCGTGTTCAAGAACATGCCCAGTCCTATCTCAGCCACCTCCGGGCCCTCCTGTACGTGTCTCCTCCTAACAAGCCTTTTTCTCTATCTGAAAGTCAAATGTCCTGCGCCCAAAAGATCATCTCATGTCTCCAGCAGGCTGGAGCGCAGCGAGGGGATTAATGCACCAGGTTGCAGTTTATTCACCAGGGAACTTCCTGTTGTTTACCAAAGCTCAAAGGTGAGTGCAAAATCTTCCACCCTCATGTGTGTTTCTATAGAAACTGCCACAGGTGAGGCAGGTAGCATGTTAATGTACTCTCACTTGGCTTGTGACACTCAGCTGTGGCTGTTAATGATGAAAACAGGCTGAGCTTTCTTTATGCGAGGCCAATATTGATAATCTTCTCGACATATCTGACAGTTTTAGAAAGCATAAAAGGTGCGAGAAAAATACCAAATAATTCATAATTACATTTTTATTTTAACAGCAGCGACTCACCTGAGAAGATGAGTCCTCATCTTGATTCCTCGGATTATCTGGATTTGTCCAGGAGGCTGAGCGTGTTTATATGTGTTATTCAAACAATCAGGCTACCTTATATTATTTATGAATTGGTGAAAAACAGATGGAGGCATTAACCTGTAGACAGCTGGGTTTAGTAAAACAAGCCCAAGGCTAAAAGCAGCATAGCAGGCTGAAAACAGAGCGAGCTCTCATCAAAACGAGCAGCCATGTCACACCCCCTTCACTCTTTATTGAATACAGTTAAGCTTTTTCCTTTCTAAACTGTATTATGTAGACAGCCTGAGGCACACTTCATTACTTTGTATTTTGTTTCCTATAAATTTTAGAGTAGATCAGATCAATAGTCCACCAGGCTTTCTGAAGGTTGCTAAAACTTTTCCGTTTAATATTAGTTTCTGTTTTGACTTGTTTTCCAGCAGGTGTTTATAACCACCCGGGCAGAGAAAACGTTATTTTTTTTTTTCCTAATGTGAAAAACAAATATTTCTTCTAATAAAGAAGGCTGCATACAGTTTTCCTGCAAAAGTATTCACACCGTTTTACCTTTTCTTTTACATTTTGTTACTTACATTCCCAAAAAAAAAAAAAAAAAAAAAACTCCAGTGAATTTTAATATGTACGGAAGAGGATTAGGGCCAGTGGGGGAAAAAAAAAAAAGTTAACTGATTTTTAAATTTTATTTCAGTTTAGTATGAGAAAAAAAGTCAGAATTTTGACTTTAATCTCAGAATTCTGACTTTTTTCTCAGAATTCTGACTTTAATCTCAGCTTTAATCTCAGAATTCTGACTTTTTTCTAAGAATTCTGACTTTAATCTCAGCTTTAATCTCAGAATTTTGACTTTTTTCTCAGAATTCTGACTTTAATCTCAGCTTTAATCTCAGAATTCTGACTTTTTTCTCAGAATTCTGACTTTAATCTCAGCTTTAATCTCAGAATTCTGACCATTTTCTCAGAATTCTGACTTTTTTCTCAGAATTCTGACTTTAATCTCAGCTTTAATCTCAGAATTCTGACTTTAATCTCAGCTTTAATCTCAGAATTCTGACTTTTTTCTCGGAATTCTGACTTTAATCTCAGCTTTAATCTCAGAATTCTGACTTTAAGTTCAGAATTCTAACTGAATTCTGACAATAAAAAAAGTCAAATCCATCTGGCGGAGTCAGGTTACTAATCCTCTTCCGTAAATATGCTTTTTGAAAAACAGTGGAGAAAAAAAAATAATTTTCTAAGGCTCTGATTGAGTCAATTCGAACAGGACTATAGAGAGGAGGTGGAGCAGCTGGTGGGATGATGCAGAGATAACGTCCTGATTCTGAATGTGGAGAAAATGAAGGAGTTCATCGTCGACCTCAGGAGCCTAACCACGCTCCACTTGTCATCAAAAGCTCAGCAGTAGAGGTGGAAAACACCCTCAAATTCCTGTGGGTGCACATCACAGACACCCTCACGTTACTTAATGAAATTTCTTTTTGTGTAAACCTGTGTGTACAAAATAACAAAATAAAATCTGTCTAAGTTTATTCATGACTCCTGTTTGATCTCATCTTTGTAAAAGACACCTGTCCACAGCCTCAAACAGTCAGACTCAAAACATGGCTGTTTAAGGGCTATTAAAAAACATCAGGAAGAAGATTTTAGACCTGCACCTGCAGAAAATAGAAGACATACAAGACCATTGATGGTCTCTTATGATCTGGGAAGATCTCATCCTCTGGGGTCAAAATGAGAACAATGAGCAAAAATCCCAGAACTAGATGGAGGGACCAGATGAATGAGCTGCAGAGAGCTTGGACCAAAGGCTTCCGTCAGTAACACACTACGACCAGAGGGACTCACATCCTGCAGAGCCAGGTGTGTCACTCTGCTGAAGACACTACATATCCAGGCCTGTGTGAAGTTAGTCAGAGAGCTGATGGATGATCCAGAGGAGAAAGAATACCTACTGTGAAGCATGGGAGTGGAAGCATCATGCTTTGGGGCTGTTTTTCTGCAAAGGGGAGAGGGCGACCGATCTGTGTTAAAGTTAAGAATGATTTTAAGATTTTAAGCCTAAACCTTCCATCAGTGAGAGCATTGAGGATGGATCATAGCTGGCTCTTCTAGCAGGACTACGATCCTAAACAAAATACTCAGGACACTAAGGACTGGATCCATAAAAAGCATTTCAAGGTCCTGGAATGACCTGGTCAGTTTGCAGACCTTAACCCCATAGAAAAATAAGTGGAGTGAGTTGAAAGTCTTCTTCCCAGTTACAGAAACATCATATCTGGTGGAGGAAACCTGGAGAAGACGGAAAGGAAACGTCTGACTTTTCATTGCCAACAAAGGTGATGCTATAAAAAAATTGATCTGAACTTTTTTTTTTTTTTTACCATAAGTTACAAATAGATGCTTTAGAAATCCTACAATGTGATTCCCTGGATTATTTTTTTTTTTAACCAGTTTGTCTCATAATTGAAGTGTCCCTATGATGGAAACCTTTTTGCCCCCAGTGTAGCAACAGTGATGAAATGAAATCAGATCAACCGATTCACCAAGTGAATAAAGATGATCTGTTTGTAACCTAATCTCACTGTACAGCTTTATGAGAACAGATAAATGTGTCCTTTTACTTGTGGCAAAAATGAAACGTACTCTGGAGCATTATTTAGGTGTTTCCCCTAACAAACTCATTAGGGGTAAAAACACCAATGCTTTTGGTTAAAAGGGAAGGAAGAACCGACTTTACCTATAGGGGAGAAAGATTTTTTGGAGCACAGGAGAAACTTCCAAAGACCTTCTTTGACTTGATGGCGGCCATCTTCTGTGGAGCAGCATTGCTGCAGGGGGAAAGACTTGCTAAAAAACACATCACTACAATATCCCCCATATCATGTGTGGAACTGTTGCAAAGATGGTGAGCTGATTCAGTGACAGACTTCACCTTCCTGGGGGAACAAATGATCATAATCACAGATCTTTCCTCCTAGAAGCTGTTAGCTACTACTGACAAGTTGAGTATGTTTTTAAATCCCTGCAGTTTGCAGTTTCTTAATTTTCATGAAAATACTTTTTATGCAGAGATGTACATACACATTTTGAACAAAAGTGTAATGTTGCATACTAGCTCAATGTACTTGTGAACATGCAATTTGCAATTCCTAATATCTGTATAGTGTTTCTATTTTCTAATGTTGCATATTTTCCCTTAATCTGTCAGGGTTTGTTTGGACCCAAATGCAGAGGCTGAGAGGCAGGGGTGAGTTCTCTGATGATTTAATGGGATAACACGGGTAGCAAAAACAGGAATCCAAAAATCCAACATAAAAATAAAAAAACACTAACCAGAACCATGGAGACATCAGGGGAAATCTAGCACAAGGAGCCAGGGTGAGACAAAGTAAGACGAGGAACCAGCACCGAGAGACTGCAGAGGGAGTGTATTTATGGCCGACTGAACAAAGGCAGGACTAACGAGCTCATAAGGAGCAGGTGTGAGTAGAGCTGACGAGGAATCCAAGGGAAAAGGAAACACAAGGGGGCAACAGAAGACAAGGAAAGAAAAACCTAAGAAACTTAAATAATTCCAGAACACACCAGTAAAGCTAGAAAACAAAGAAAAACATGGATAAGCGTGAAACTGAAAACCAACAGAACCAAGATCATTACACAATCAGATACTTTGTTTAAATAAACTAGAGTAATTTTGCCTTTAAAATATGATAATCTGACATTATTCCCTTGGAATATATACAGCACTCTGTTTTTTTTTCTGCATAAATTGTATTAATCGTTTGGCAAATTGTCTTACCTGCTCAAATAAAAGGAATATAAATTTATTTCAAGAGAAACTGACTGCCTCAGATTAAAACCTGGAGTTGTTGGAGTTAATAGAACAAAAGTTGAATTAAGTTCAGGAAATTCAACAAGTTTTGCCAGACACTGCAGGTGTTTTTTTCCTGTATTTCTAAAACTGTTCATGAAACTTAAAAATATATATATATATATAGAGCTGAAAGCAGCCAATGTTCAAAGAGAGACTTAAAAACATGCAGAAAGCCTGAAGAACTTCTGCTCATGGCTAACTGAACGTCTGACTGCTTTCAGGCTAAATACAAAGACGGCCAATAAAAGCGAGGAGTAAGGAGATCAACTACAAACAAATACGTTACGTACATCTGAAAGGAGTTTAATTTTTTTATTCCTGTTTTGCACAATATGCTTTACTATATGCTTTACTAAGTATCTTTTGTTGTTGAATATTAGAAATTTTGCAGATATATTTTTATACATACATTGTTTAGATTTACTTATATATTTCGAACCGTTTTATAGAATAGAAAATCCCTTTATTGTCCCACAATGGGCAAATTTACAGCAGCAGAAAGATTATTGAAAATGGTCACACAAATGAGGACCTTAGAAAAAAGTATAAGATTAACATAATAGGGAAGAGTTAAAATATAAACAATAAAATTCTGTAAAGTGTTTTAAAAATATAAAACTGGGGAATAAATAACCAATATGCAGCTATGGACATTTTTACAGTAATGGATATTTGAAAATAGCAGCAACATCAGAGATGTGCAGAATGACAGCAGCAGGTTATTTAACTGACTAAGGTTTCTATCATTACATTTGATTGTATTTGTTCCTGCTCCTGCTGGTTGGAACCTTTATTCTACTCTGGATTCTTGTGAGTTTAGTCTTTGTTCACTTTATAATAAAAAATAAATAAATAAACAAACAGTTTTGAAAACTTCTGTATTCATTCTTTTCCTGCTTTGTGTGTCAACTTTAACGGTTGCTAAGCAACAGAGCTTACGGCGGTAAAACCCGCCGAAGGGTAGACCTGTTCGAATTCACAGCCAAAAACTCTTCCGGTCTCCTTAATTTCAAGGACTTCGAAGGATCCAGTCTAGGTAGACTGCGTCCTTGGAGGATGCAGCCCAGGATTTCGAACAGAGCCACTGTTTCCTTCTGGGGGCGGGGTTTCCTTCATATTGGTCTGTATGGATGTTAGCAACATGTTAATTGGTCAATGTGTACATGAATTGTGAGCATCAAAGATGAAGCAGCGGATGTTTCTTCTTTTCTTTTTTCTTCTGTTCAAAGCACGTTTGGTGTGAGGATTATTTATGGCTTAAAGTGAAGAGAATGTAATCTGTGAAATGCAATTTTTAAAAAAGCCCTTTGTAAATTTGTAAAAAAAGAAATTTGAAAAAAAAAAATCTAAAAAAACACGAGTAAAATATGAAAAATTAATTTGATAAAGAAAAAAATACAACAGAATCAGAGAAAACAACAAAGTACCTCTCAAAATCTTTTTTTGATAACTTTTTTCTGAATTACATCTTTTTTTAAATTTTATTTCCATTTACAAAATATGTTCTGTATTTGCAACAATAATGGAAAAAAATTCACTCCATATTTCCACCCAATGATAAACCAGACGTATGGAGTTTAATAATCCAAATGTTTGGTGGATTATCTTAACCCTGTAATGCCAAATGTATCGTATTTGATACATACGGTTTCTGAAATGTTTTGCGTCTGACACCTTTTGCATAATTTAATGGTAAAAACTTTCCTCAAAATCCTATTGTACACAATCAGATATACCTGATAACAGGGGGCTACACAAAAAATAATCGCATAGTAATAAATTATTAATATCAAAAATTTATTTTTGTTTTTTCTTTTTACATATTTTGTTTAAAGGCCAAATAAGGAATTCAAACCAAAAAAAAGTAATTTTCTGTTTTGTTTTATTCTTGGATCGGGCTTTAAAGGGTTAAAATAGTCCATGATATCACAAAGGTTTGTCTCAGGGGTTTTCCTATAAGCCTTAATGATCTTAGCAAAGGGAATCTTCACATTTTTGCATAAAGTATAAAAAACATTCTCCCAACCCTTTCCTTATTGTTTAGTAAATACAAGATAAAAAAAATAGTGAAAAAGTTTGTGGTTTAATGTCCAACAATGAGAAAAAAACTGAGCTACTGTATGTATTTGTTGCAGTTAAATTGATTTAAAAATGTTTCTTCTGTTAAAAAAAACAAACAAACCCAAACATCTTTATATTAGGAACTTTTGCTGCACACATTTCCTTACAGGACGGCGGTAGAATCCGATGCTTTTGATGTAACTAGAGAAAACAAGATTAAAAATGTATTAAGCGTCGAACACTCTGCCTCACCTGGCAACCTGAGACCTTGCCTTGACCGTGAGGCTCGCAGCTTGGCACCACTCTTCTAGCGTGACTCAAACAGAATCTCATCTTTAACATAAATGCCTAATGCAGTAGGGTTCCAAGTCAGTTCAAACTGCTTCTCTGTTGATGTGATATTTTTTTCTGTCCTGAGATGATGCAGGAAACACATCAGCTTTGTTGAGTTTTTTTGAGAAGTTGTGCTATGAACTTGGACAATGCTGTGACTTATTCCTCCAGTGATCCAGGCCAGAGGCTGTAAGTGGATGCACGATGTTTCTTGTTATCTTTTAGTGCCGCTGAACAACATTTCAAGACAACATGCACTCAGATCTGAGTTTTCATGGCAGAGAGTAAATCAGTAGAATGGATAACCACCAGAAGAGGAACATAACTTTCCTTACCATCGGATTAATATTTATGCTGAGCGGCATTGAGTACGGTAAGTTCTGCTTTGTCTGAGCCTTCAGTCAACTAATAGGTCAGGCAATAGCTGCAGATCACAGATCATGATGGCTACAGCTTGGATGTTTGGTAACCAAGGCCGTTGAAACAGCTCTATACCAACCTTCACATTAAAGTCACAAACTTTAATGTATCTGGGATTCTAAGAGGTAAACCAATGCCAGGAGCTCACAGTGAAAAGGGAAGAAAAATGATGTAGGGTTCTCAATTTATTTTGACATCCATTAATCAGAGTAGTGTGGCCAGCATTTGGACCTACATCAGATTTAATAAAGCCAGCTGCCGGCTCCCGGGGCTCCGGCATTGCGGTGGCTGGGGGACTTCCTCGGGGCCGTCTTTCCTCCTCCCTTGGTGGGGGGTCAGGTTTCCTGGGTTGGCCGCTCCTTGGCGCCTTAGCTCTTGGGATCCCTTTGGGCGTCTGGGGGTTTTGGCCCCCCCGGTGCTTGCCTCAGTGGTTTGGAGGGGTGGGTCTTTGGCTCTTCACAACCACTACTGAGCATTTTTCCTCCGGTACTTCACCTCCATACAGAAAGCCCATATTCTGATCTTCAGCTACCACAGTATACATGTCAGATTAAATAATACAACTTATAGTTCAGCAATAGTAAAAAGGTGTTATTTAATTGTATCTCTTATACATATCTGTTGGTTGTGCTGTTCTTTTTACATCTCTTTGCAGGTGATGAAGCAGACTGAAAATGTTTTATCGTTATCTCCCTTTTATCTCCTCTTTCTTTCATCTCTTCTCCTTTTTTCTGTTTTTTCATTTCTTTTCTACCTACATTGCAGTGTCCATAAAATCTGTAATACTCCCTGCATGAAATATAATTAAGCTATTTATATGCATAAATGAAGCGGAACACTATGGCGATAGCCGTACTGCTGCACTTGTGAAAGTAAAATCTGTTGGGCTCTTTTTGGGATCAAGAGAATTATTCTTATTGCCACATTGCCAGACAAGACAGTGTAAAAAAAATGTATATATTTAAAAAAATATAATTAAAGGCACCATGTGTAGGATATATTGCCATCTAGTGGTCCTCTAAATGAATTACAAACACCAGTGTTGGGGTGTGGTGCCTCCCTGCAGTGTTGTGGTCAAGACCACTTAACCCCAGACCGAGAAAATACCAAGACTTTTAGGGTCCGAGACCGAGTCAAGACCAAGACCAGCGCCAGTATGTGACAATAAAATGTGAAACATGATCAAAATGACAAAAATTTATCTAAAAGACCCACATTCACATAAAAACACCTAGATATTTAACACACAGAACTGGACTAAACATTAACATCTTTATTTAGTACTTCTGTGTAGTAATCACAGAATTTCAAACAATAATTCAAAGTCGATAAAAATAGTATTTTCTCTGCCGTTCATGAACAGTACATACATTTATGTTGTTTTTAAATGTGCTATTTCAAAACAATGTGCAAAATTCTGTAAAATGTGTAAAACTAAAAAAAAAGCCAATCATTTCTCTTGTTTCTCTCTCATATACAGATTAAAGCTATATTATATAACTTTTCTTAAATAAATCCATATCTGTCATCAAGTTGTGAAAATATGTTATGAGACAGATAATTTGTTGAAAAAATAGATTGATCTCCTTCACTGCATTTACCAATGAGACAGGTTATTGCTTGGATTTGAATCCAAGCATCCAATAAAAAGAAGGATCTTAAAGAAACTGATAATATTCCGATGATTAGCGCTATTTCCACAGTTGTGGTCTTGAAATAAAATGCTGAGTCCTCAGCGCCTGAGACCGAGACAAGACCATCAAAAAATGGTCTTGAGACCGGTCTTTGTCTCAAGACCGGTCTCAAGTACTACAACACTGCCTCCCTGTGAATTTTGTAATGTAACCCCTACAGCAGTGTGTCAAAAATGTGAAAATGTCCACATCCTGCAGGAGTTCACGTGTCTCGGCAGGTGATGAGGTTCAGAATGACCAATGCTTTAAGTGGATAAAAATAAAGGAAATGAATCAGTGAACAGAAACACGGGTACTATTTTTATACAGATCTATCTATTGATACTTTAATTGAACAGTAAGAAAAAGAACAAAGCATTTTCTATCAAGGTTATGGTTGCTAATCGTCACAATTACACATTAAAAGAAAAAAAAAGAAAAATATTCACACAGGAAAAATATTAAATACAGCTTTGCATCCACATCTTTTAAAAAAAACCTTCTAATTATGGCTGTCAAAGTTAACAATAAAAGGTACATTAATCTAACTTCTTTTTAATGCCATTAACTTAATAAAAAACGTAATAAACACACATGATTTTTGGACCTCAGTTACGCTGCAGCTTGGACTTTATTTTCAATTTCAGTTGTTTCTACTTTTTTTTTTTTCTACTATTTCTTAATAAGTTGGGAGGAAGCTCCACTCTGTTCCACCTCCTATCCACCTCACCTCAGTTTGCTCAGAGATAGCAAGAGAAACAAAATGAATGTTTGGATTTTTTCTTCTTCGTTGACCAAAAACAAAACATAAAGCAATATTTCACATGCAGTTTATCCAGCACCGAAGCAAAACTATAGTTCTATGAATAAATGAAAAACATACAATCCATGAAAAATAATCTTATGTTTAGCTTTAACTTTATAAAGAAAAGGCTGGAGAGAAGGAGGAACATCACATCTAAATCTAAATGCAGAGCATTAGCATCACATCTGGGAGATGTCAGTAAATTTGAAGAAACTCTTTGGATTTATTTATTCCGTGTCAATTTACCACATAAAAGCAAATGTAGGGGGGGTCATTTATTTGTTACATCTCCAGATATTATTTATCCTGTGCAAATAGGGCTTTATTCTAAAAACACCTAAAGGTTGAGTCCTGGTTCTTTATTTCACTCACATTATTGGACTGTATTCATTGTTTCCTCATTTTAATCCTGCTAAAAATCTTTTATTTTTATTTTCCATTACAGAAATTATCTTGTATGAAATAATACACATCGTTACTGGTGCAAAATTTGTTCTCAGTTTTCAAAATGTTGATACTGAGAAGTTATTTTGGCAATGAAGAGAAATAAACTGAAGAATACTATATTATTGTTCATTTAAAACAAAACTTTGCATAATTTTGCGTCAGTCACATAAAATCACAGTGAAATCCATGGAAGTTGCAACATGTAACAGATGTAAAAGGTAATGTTGTAGTGTGTGTATATATATATATATATATATATATATATATATATATATATATATATATATATATATATATATATATATATATATATATATATATATATATATATATATATATATATATATGTTGTTGTATATGAATACTTTCTCACTGAATTTCATTGGGAGTTTCCCTTTTTTTTCTTAGCTGTCATTCTGCCTACAATATGGAGGTATCTGCAGATCCTCGAGGCGCCGCCATATTTCCTGGGTCTGGGACTGTCTGCCTTCAGCCTGAGTGCGCTGCTCACAGGTCCACTTTTTGGAGTCTGGTCAGATCGAAGCAAAACTACTAAATCCATCATCCTTTTCTCCAATCTTTTTGAAATAGCAGGTGGGAGTCCTTTTCTTAATTCTGAATTCAGAAAATGATTAATTAATGCTCAAATATTCACATTAATTGTGTTGAAAGTTAATGATGACAAGTTGAGTGATATTATTTTGTAAAATCCTTAAAGACGAGTAACGATTAACCAATTAAGTGAAGCATTTTCTGTAGTTTTGGAGTCTGTATACCAGCATTGTTTTTTTAAACCCTTATTTAACCATGAAAGTCCTCATTTAAATATCTCCTTTTCTGTCTCATTTGTCCCCAGGTAACTTCATGTACTTTATCGGCTATTCCAAGTGGCTGCTGTTGTCCAGTCGGCTTGTAGCAGGTAACGCAATCACTAACACACACAGAAAACTCACATTGGCATGGATGTCAGTCATTTCAACCTGGAGTGAATCACGCAAACAAAAGATGCAATTAGAAAATATAAAATTTATTTATACAGGTATAACACTATCATATTCTTCAAAATATTTCTATTTAAGGAAAACCAGTTGATTGCATTGACTCACTGACTCTCTGCATTCCATCGCACTGAGCATGCATGTAGCGACAGTAGAGAGGAAAACTCCCTTTTAACCAGAAGAAACAACCAGCAAAACCAGGCTTAGTGTGAGCGGCCATCTGCTGAGGCCCACTGGGGTTCAAGGAGAGGGAATCAGTTAAAACCATGAATGAAATATGTTCTTTGGTGCTCGGGCCCCAACAGAAGGCTGTGAATCAACATACGTAAACTAGAAAAGAATTAGAGTCCTCTCTCCCATGCATGTAAACTACTCTCCACTTGTGTTATGAACTTTTTTTGCACTCAGATTCAGTGATGGGAGTAACGGCGTTGAAAGTAACGGCGTTGCTAACGCCGCTACCTTTTTTAGTAACGAGTAATCAAAATTATTACTCTTAAAGCTACAGTGTGTAATAATTACAGGCATATAAATTCAGAAATTTAATATATTATACATAACTATGTTATTTATCATCACCTATGAGCTCAGCCTTTTAACCATAACATTTGCGTTGCCTTAGAATTCGTTATTTATAATTACATAGGAGCGGGTCTCGCAGCCATGGAGGCTGACATCTTTGCGCTACGGCAGCGCAGAGGCAACAAACTAGCGATTGCGAGATCTCCCATGACGCTCGAAAATAACTACGGCAAGTTGAGAGAGATGAACTGAGACGGTACTGAACAGTAGATGGCAGTATTATGCCTGAGAAGCGTTTAGTCTGCCTGAAACCAAAGAAGAAGAAGAAGCAGGTATACTGCGCCTCGGTAACAAGAAAGGTAAACAAGGCGGCAGGCGTGAGTGACTTTGCAAACTGTTTGGCACTGTGTGGCCAAACATCAGACGAATGGAGGATCATGCCTACTCTGTATCACAACGAAAAGCGGCGGACACCGAACCCCCGTCATCTAAGAAGCGGAAACACGACGAGAATAAACGCAAGCGTGACAAGAAACGGCAAAAAACACGGATCAACATTGGCACGGCATTTACACGATGGAAGTCACTGATGGAGGAAAAAGGTTTTCAAAGTGACGCTCAAGTTGCCAGTTTTCTCTTGGACAGGTAATTAATCCTATACACACAATTGTCTAATATCACTGCAGTTTTTGGAGTACAGGATGCTCAGACCTGTCTAAAACAATAACATGCGGCGTGATGATGCTGTTACTCTCCAGTATACTTATTCAGCAACGTCCATGACATTTCACAGGTAATGATTCAGTAATTTTCTGTAAAATAATTTTCTGGATATATACCTCGGTTACTTCTCTCCGGCTCCTTTGGAGATCTTCAAGCCTTTCCTCCTCTGCTCTCACCCCGCTGGCTCCCCTCTCTCGCCTGGCCCCAGCTGCACGCTCACCCCGGCCTCTCTGCCCTCTTCCTTTCCCTCTTCCTTGCCTTGTAACCCCCGTGCCACAAACAAGACTTGGACTCTGTAAACGGGGAATATATATTCTTCCAGCGAACACAATCTCGCTGTTAAACTAATGACTACAATTACTTCGTCTGTTTATATCACCATGCAAAGCAGCTCACCAAAACGTCACAACGACGTAGAAAAAATAACGGGTATATTTATTATCTTAAGTCTACATGAAATCTATACCCTACACAGACTAATGAAATACTATCTGTAAAATTATCTATGTAAACAAACCTCATCACTTGAGAAGGTAGGTGATGCGGACGTCGTGGAAGACATTTTGTCCCGTAACGCTCGCCGTACTGTTGGGGGGGAGAAGCGGTGGGGGGGAGATGTTCATGTTGCTGCAGTCTGCAGTCTGACCGCTAGATGTCGCTGAAAATTACACACTGTAGCTTTAATGTAACTATAACGCAGTTACAATTGCCGACACCCCGTTACTGCACGTTACTCAGGTCGCACAATTAACCTTTTTTCATGATAGGACTCATGCGCGCGTCATGAGAGAGGGGAGGATGGAGAGTGAGGAGGACTCCAGCGGCAAAACAGTGCTTTCCAGATGGAAATACTGGTGTTACGTTGAGCTGCATTTCCCCATCAGATACGGTTTCCCCTGCATCTCCGCACAGCGCGGCGGCACGATTCACCGTGCAAGCGACAGGAAACGCGCATGCTCGCTAAAGGCGCATAACAGCCGCCCTGTGCTCGCGCCACAGGGGAACTACGGAGAGCATGAACGATCATTAGACTATATGGAGAAAGAGAGAAATATGGATGGATGGATGGATGGATGGATGGATGGATGGATGGATGGATGGATGGATGGATGGATGGATGGATGGATGGAATAGATAGATAGATAGATATAGCTACATGTTGCAGTATCTATAACAACTCAAACACAGGATTTCAGAATTAGACATCCCCAGTTATTAATTTCATACACTCGCAAAAGTAACGCAATAGTTACTTTTACTAGTAACTAGTTACTTTTATTGTAGAGTAACTCAGTTACTAACTCAGTTACTTTTTGGGAGAAGTAACTAGTAACTATAACTAATTACTTTTTCAAAGTAACGTGCCCAACACTGCTCAGATTCAATACTATGAGGCGCCATATTTATCATAAGCATGGTTCATCCTCCTCCTCTGTGCCTTGATTTTTATGCACCTGTAGATTCTCCTCTACTGGCATGTGGACCTGTTTCTTCCAGGGTCCCGGGAACAGACATGGGGGAAAAAATATGTATAATGTGCATAAAAAATATCGATTTGTTCCACAACAATAATTTGTGTGCAAAGTTGTTCTCACAATCTGCTTATTTATGCAAGGATCCTTAGGTAAGCACCAGTCATGCCTAATTTTCACTCTGGGAGCAGTGGGCTGCCATTTGCGGCGCCCGGGGAGTGTAGGGGTTAAGGTTCTTTTGCTCAGGGACCCCGAGTGGCAACCGCTCGGCCTGCTAGCCTGTGTTAAGGGTCTTGCCTGAGGACCCACACTGGCAGCTCATTCCCCCCAGCTGGGATACAAACCCAGGCTTATTGTTTGCAGGACAGCTCACTTGAACAAGCCAGCCTCTAACTCATAAGAGTTAACTTTTAAGAGTTTGGATGTTTTCAGTCATTTGCCTCCATGTTGGAGAGAAATAAAAAAATCTGTTCTTCTTTACCAATATGCCAAAGAAACCATTCTAAGGTGTGCTGAACAGATTTATGCTGCTTTCCTTTCAGGTGTGGGTGCAGGAGCCGGGTCCTCCATCTTTGGTTTTCTAACCCGGAGCACTCTGCCAGAGGAGCGCGCCGGTATCTTTGCAGCAATCATGGCCTGCCGACAAGCTGGCCTTCTCGTCGGTCAGTATTTTTTTTTTTCCTCTCACCACAATGACAGAAGTGTTGCTCTCACCTTTCTGCACCCTGCTCTGTATTCTGAGAAATATCAGACACTGGGAAGGATTTTGCAGCTTTGATGTACAGTTTGATCTGCAAGGAGAAGAGGCCATTGAGTAAAACCACCAAGGTGTTAAGGCTGGCGTCTTTGCACCTCCTCTGTGTGTCTCATCTTTAAAGCACTTCCTCCTGTCTCTCCAGGGCCAGCGTTCAACTTGTTCCTGCGGCTGTGTGATTTCAAACTGGGGCCCTTTGTTGTGAACAAGTATACGTCTCCTGGGGTAACCACATCCAGAAAAAAAAAATCAGTAATCTGAGGTTCTCTGAAAGGCTCATGAATCGACAAAATGAGGAGTAGAAATAGTCGCTCTACATTCTGAACTCTTCTGGGTTTTTTCACACTTTGTTCTCTGAACAGCTCAAATAAAACGCTGCGCATCACAAAGCTCACAACCTCTATGTGTCTGTTTCCATCACATGATGGCTAAATGAAACACCTGTAGCTGTAAAAATGCAGACCTCCTCCTCCACACCTTTATTTCTCCATGTTTCCCTTCTGAGATACTTATTTCTAGGATTCTGTGGAAAACAAAGTCTTTGAAGATATCTGTTTCTTCTTCCTCCATTTTTTCAGATCTTCATGTGTCTTCTGTGGACGTTGCTTCAGTTTGTCATCGTGGCTGCGTATTGGGATGTACCACCCCTTAGCTCAGAGGGGGGAGTTATAGTGTTGGAGCTGAAACAAGAAGAGAAAGAGGAGGAGGTGCCCCTGATTGGGTCAGACGAGGAGGCCACGCCTACCTATAGAGCCGTGAACTCTGACCAATGTGAGACCTCCACCTTGACCGAGTCGGAAGCAGCTGACGAAGAGTCCAACCCCTTTAAAAACTTCAGTGTCAGCAGAGGTGAGTTGGCTGCTAATTCTGAGCTTTCCTTTAGGCCATTGGAGACTCTGTGTCACTGTCATCGAGCATGTTTTCAATCTTGTTTATTGATTTTATTTTTTTTTTGGCATTGGTACAAACATGCACACGGATCTGCATCGACTTTTCCCGTTCCAGGTCACTCAGAGGGATTCTGTACAGCATATCAAATCAGATTCTCATGTATTGACAGAACTTGTGTGTGTATGTATTATAAGTGATGTCAGGTGTCTTGCTGCATCAGCATCACAGTAAGTTAACGTACAATAAGAGCGGTGATTGGGTGCCATCATCGATTATCTCCTTGTTGTACTTTGCAAGGATGGATGCGTGTTGGAGAGTGTGTCAGTGTGTAGATGCATGTATTTGCTTATGATGTCTGTTTAGGATCTTTTCTGGTTCAGTTATCTTCTGAAAACCACTGGGCCTTAAAGGAATAGTACACCCAAAACATGATTAGCCTTCATTTTCTACTCACCCCCATGCTGAACAACACTCTGGAGTACTTTTTTGATATCTCAAATGCATCTGGAGATCTGGGAGGCTTCTTGCTGTCTGCTGACATTCAAATAATGGAGGTCTATGGTGCCCGAGGCAGAAAGGTCCATAAAAGTCCACAAAAAATGTGTCAATATTCCTCCATACTGCTCGTCCAATGTATTCCAAGTGTCCTGAGTGGGTAGCATCTAGAATTTACTCGAAACAAAGTCATTTAGAATGTTTTTAGAGCATAAACAGTAGTGTATAGGATTTCCTGAAAGCGCGCGCCGGCGCGTTCATGACGCTATGGAAACCGCGGCAGACCAAACCAGATGAAAGTGCGCATTCAGCGTCTGCTCTGCCGATAATGCAAGCGTAGAAGAAGAAATGTGCTGTTTACCTGTGCAAAGAAAGAAACAACGAAAGAAAAATGTCTGAGGACTTCAGTGTTGAGGAAGAGCATGAGTGCTTTGCCGAGCTGAATGCGCACTTTCATCCGGTTTGGTCTGCCGCGGTTTCCGTAGACTCGTGAACGCGCTTTCAGGAAATCCTATACACTACTGTTTATGCTCTAAAAACATTCTAAATGACTTCGTTTCGAGTAAATGCTGGATGCTACCCACTCAGGACACTTGGAATACATTGGACGAGCAGTATGGAGGAATATTGACACGTTTTTTGTGGACTTTTATGGACCTTTCTGTCTCGGGCACAATAGACCTCCATTATTTGAATGTCAGCAGACAGCAAGAAGCCTCCCAGATCTCCAGATGCATTTGAGATATCAAAAAAGTACTCCAGAGTGTTGTTCAGCATTGGGGTGAGTAGAAAATGAAGGCTAATCATGTTTTGGGTGTACTATTCCTTTAAAGGTGCACAATGCACAGTACAGAGCAAAAGTTTGGGCACACTCTCTCATTCAAAGAGTTTTCTTTATTTTCATAACTATGGAAATTGTAGATTCACACTGAAGGCATCAAAACTATGAATTAACACATGTGGAATTATATACTTAACAAAAACGTGTGAAACAACTAAAAACATGTCTCATATTCTAGGTTCTTTTGCTTTGATTGTTGCTTCACACACTCTTGGCATTCTCTTGATTAGCTTCAGCGTTATGAGCTATAACAAAGGATTAAAATGCAGTTGATGATATTAAAATAACTACTCATAGCATTGATACTTATCATTTTTAGATCCTTTTTGAGCCTAAATAGAATTTAAGCACCGGGTGCGACGATAAATAGAAATGTCGCCATCTGCTGGCAGAACTACAGAACTATCAAAAAGCCAGAAGGAAGGAAGGGCTGGAAGGCGTTTTTCAAGTACGTAATCTAAACTGCAAGTACCAGGATAATAAAAGCAAAGATATTTTGCTGGCAGATTTTGTTATTTTAAGTTAATTTAGGTGTTAATAAATTGTTTCAAAGGAATGATCATAGCGCTCTGCATCAGCAGTGCTGTGTCTGTCTCCCTGCCAGCTCCCACATCAGCGGCGCGCCTTTTCTGCTGCTTTAGATGCGCTGCAGACAGCATGCGAGTTCATGTGTTTTGAAGGTGTGGTTTGCAGAGATGGGAAGTAACAAAGTACAAATACTTTGTTACTGTACTCAAGTAGATTTTTCTGATATTTTTACTTTACTTTACTACTTATTTTTATGATGACTTTTTACTTCTACTCCTTACATTTTTACACAAATATCTGTACTTTCTACTCCTTACATTTTTAAAAATTGGCTCGTTACTTTAGTTTTGAATCATTTCAATGGAGTTACTGTTGTTATTTTTCACGTCATCAATACCAAATTCAATCTAATTGGATGGGAATCTACGTTGCATTTGACGCACCACTACAAGATGAATCGACAGATTCGGCGGTATTCATTCGCGGCAAATCATTAGCTACGTTTACATGCACAAAATTTCCCCGATCCGATCCAAACCTTGGTTGATCGGAAATTCAAAATCTCCGTTTACATGGACACTAAATGAAATGATCCGATCATGACGTGTGTATACATGTACCAAGCGTTGGATCAGATTAAATCTTTTAAGCATGCGCAGAACTTCCTGCCAAACTTGGCAGTTCTGTCTGCGTCTGGTTTTTGAGAGGCCTGACAAACGATGCGCTCGGAGCGAGCGGAAAGAAAAAAGGAGAGAGGAGGAAAAAAGCGCTTGGCAGCGAAATGTACGAGAGAAAATGTAGAGAATGAGCGATTGAACCGGCGTGGGAGAGCGAGTGGGCTGTGGAGAGAGAAAAGAGGAAGAGGAGGAGGATAAATTCCTGCTTCCTGCAGCTTTAAATGAACTTGAGTGTAGAAGTCGGCGTTCCTAGACTCCTCCCGCCATGTTGTTCAAAGCGAGAGCGAGAGCGACCGGTGGTTTCCTGTTGTTGACAAGGCAGAAAAACGTCACGCTGACGTCGCACACATGCGCAGTGAAGATTATTTTACTCTTAAGATCCGAATGGGTGTTTACATGGACGCCAATCGGAATGGCGATCGGCAAAAACCACGTCTCTCATTCGGAATTAAATTTAGATCCGATCGGACCGAATCGGATTAGAATCTTCAGTCTGACATGTTTACATGAAACATTTTTGATCTGATCAGGCCTTCAATCCGATTAGTTGTGTCCATGTAAACGTAGCTATTGTAGCTTGGTGGCGGTGGCGTTAGCATAGTAGCATGGACGACGAGATGATTGAAAATGAACACAACGGAGATCTAGTCCTATTGGCAGACATCCATTTAAAATGTAGGCAACGGCATGAAAAAAGTGGTTTCTACTTTTACTTTTATACTTTAAGTAAATTTACAAGCCTGTACTTTGTTACTTTTACTTGAGTAAAGAAGTTTAATCAGTACTTCCACTTTTACCAGAGTATTTTTTAACACAAGGATCTGTACTTTTACTCAAGTACGGAAAGTGAGTACTTTACCACCACCATCTCTGGTGGTTTGGAGGCAGAGGCATGGTTGTGTATGTTCAAAAATATAGCTCGCTGGAACCGTTTTTCCAAAATCTCCTACACCGCCTTTAATCTTGAGAAGTAGGGAAGTTGTGCAAAGAGTTCTTTGCTTCCTGAACTTCATTCTTATATTTACCAGAGACAGAACATTTTTTAGAAGTCTAAATTGAATTACTCTTCCTTATATCTTTAGTGGGATCATTCTGATCATTTAAAATTTGTTTTCACCAATGGCTTCCTCAGCATGTTTTCTCCTCTCAAACTGTAGACATTTTTGCTGTTTTAAAACAGACATGATACGCCTCCTGCCAATATTAAATTCTTCACTTTGCACATAAAGACAACTTTATTCAAACAAAAAAATCATAAGTGCTTTATGGCTTTAAATTGACCAGATATTGCATTTATTGGTTGATTATATGAAAAATAATTCCTTATTCTGACTGATTTTTTTTTCTAAGAGTAAAAATACATTTAGTTTCAGATTCATATGCCTGTCCCAAGAGACAATAGCTCATATACAGTATGGTGGGCCCTACAATGAGAAAACAATATACAGTAAAGTATAGTGTTTAAAAGAAAGAATTTTGTCTAATATAGCCAATGATTTATTAACTTTTGTTTGAACTGATTATAAATATAATTGTTTGTGTTAAACTATAAACGAGTCTTCATTCAAGCTTTACTTTTTTCAATATTATTAATTTTTTTTTGTTTTTAAGGCACTAGTGGCTTGTTTTTTTTAATACAGTTGGCTGACAGGGAAGAGGGGATGAGAGAGAATCAGACATGCAGCAAAGGTCGGATTTGAACCTGGCTCGGCCGCGTAAAGGACTGAGGCCTCCTCTTTTCCCAATAGAAATAGTGAAGCTAACGTTAGCTTAGCTGACATGCAGTTAAAAAACTGAAATGAAAGCAAAATGTTAAAGCCTATTGCTACTTCTGTAAAGAAAAATTCATGACTTTTTAAACAAAGTTATTCAATAAGGATTTCTCTAAACCAATGTTTAACTCTGTAAGAAAATGGCAGTTAATAAGAAGATGCTTTGCTAATATTGCTAGCCATGACCAGGAATAAAAAGCTGGTCTCAAAATGAGGGATTTCCCAAAAAGCAGCCAATTACAGGTGGTTTACTTTCTCAGACGATTACCGCCATAAAAGTGACAAAGGTTTACAGGAGCACAATGGGAAAAAAAAAATTCTTATTTCTTATTTCAACCGTTTCGTAAATTAGCTGCAACATATGAATCAAGATGCTATGACCGAAAAAATTTGATTAACAGATGACCGTTGATATATGTTATGCCGAATTTAGGTGTTCAGGCTGATGTATAACTAACTGGCCCGAATAAGATAACGGAACCCCCCCCACACACACACAGATTTTAAGACCGGATTTAAAAAATAAAATAAAAAATTTAAAAAGAAATTTTTGGACAATATAAATAAGAGTACATTTATAAACATGTTTAAGCCAGAATGATTTGACATTTAAATATGATTTCTCTACAACTTTAAAGGCATTCA